ATATATTTGCCATTTTAAGTTATTTGTAAAAATAATAAAGGTGGGATACAAATAAATGTAGTGAGTAAGTAGAAGCTCAATTTAGCCACCCAAAACAAAACAAAACCAATCGCAGAACATATGGTAAAGTACTAATTGTTTGCAACCATTTCAGACCAATTGCAAACAAACTTGTTCAATGGGTCTGGTAAAACTATATTATACATCTCAAATCAATGGTTTCGTAGGAGGTTCATGCTTAAGGCATTTTTAATTTTCTAATGCAACAAAGATTAGAGCTTTATATAAAACAGTCTACAATAATTCGGTATCCTTTACATAATATTGGTAAATGGTAAATGCAGAAGTCTTAACAATTTTTTTGTATTTCTTAAATTTAACTTCATAAAATTTAACTCACAAAAATAAGGGCAATACTGTGCCTTATATTTACTGGAAATTACTATTAAACCATGAAAATACTCAACAAAAACCAGAGACCCATGGAAGGGGAAAAAAAGGATTCCCTCTGAAAGTACAATTGCTTTTTTTCTGATATTTAAGTCATACTAAATACCAATGAAAAGAAAAATGAATAAAGATGTCCAGAATAGTAGAACAAAAATGCTTCCAATAAAAAGAGATATTTTCCTTGCATCTATTAAATTCTGATTATATTTCTGAGTTGCCAAAATCTTACTAGGTTAAATAATAACCTAAAACAAGGTTTCTCTTCTTCTAAGCTTTTCCGATAAATATTTAGTAATCCATCTTGGGAAATACTGATGTTTCTTTCCAGCTTCTTACTTAAACACTGAAATATGCCAAAAAACTGCCAGAATTTCTGAAAGGTGATTAATCTCAGAGTTCCTTTTGCTATGCCTTAAAAAATAATCTAAGGCAATCTGAAAATAAGCCGCAAAGTGTACTACCACAAAAGTATCATTAAGATTCATTGTAGAAAATATAAATTAGCATATCAACTATTTTGGCCTTGATATATTACACTTCCATAAAGTTTTAGTAAATTACTCTGAAGTCAAAGATATATGGTATGGATAATACTCAATTTTTTACCTCCATAAATGGCAAAGTCTAGATTCTATGATGAGTGGCTACTATGGATAGAAATGGGAGAAGGCCAATGTTCACTTATTTCACATTTTCTGAATCGTGTTTCTCTTTTCCATTCATAGAAGACTTCACTGAATCAGGCAGTCTTCCAACAGGCCATAAAGGGGGACAGCACCTCTGTGTCCATATGCAGATGTGTATACATTCACTGACACATCCTTCCATATATATGTGCATGTCTGTATATATGTGCATGTACAAGAATTTTTTAAAATACAGATTTAGGGACAGCCAATGTATTCCAAAATAAATCATTCGTTTACAAAATTAATGATAAAAAATACTACTTCTTACTGTAATGCAAATAATGGAGACATGAGATAATAATTAAGGATCCTAGAAAACAATATTTCTCCTCCATTTTGGCTTCAACTGATAAAAACTTACAGGAAAGTTAGCTAGCCTTCCTCTCCTCTTATTTTTCTCTAAGAAACTTCCTGAAGCAGAAAGGAAGCATGCTAATAATTTATTCCACCTCTGCAGTGTCAAAAGCATCTAATTCAGTAAGGCCATCTGATTTCTATGCCTTGGGAGGAAAAGACAGTCAACTATGGAAGTATTTCCAAACCACATCCTGCCTTGGATTTTGACAGCGGTCCAATGTAAAACACTGAAGAAAAAAATAAACTAACTTTATTTTCAAAATTACTTTCTATGGAAACAGATTGTCAGTGAATTAAGCTTCAGTTATTCAAGACAATTATGAAAAACATTTTATGCAAAAAAGTAGAAAAAATGATTGTACTTATTCAATGCAGGGGGGAAAATATTCTCAATAATAGGCATATTTTCTAAAATTCAATATCATCACAAAAAACTAATTAAAATTTCAGTTGTATCTTTCTGGCCTTTGGCTATAATAAAATTTCATTCAAACATTTAAAAAACAATCTTTAGTATTATATTTTAATTATAATAATTGAATTGTTGGTTTGATTACCAATTTCCAAAACTCAATTCTTATTCAATAAGTCTCAAAAGATTGTACCCAGAAAAGTCATGGGAGAAAAAAAAGACTGGATTGTTTAATTTTCTTTTATAAACTTCTTTTTTTGCAGCAGCAGCATGAGAAAGTAGACTGTAATTCTGCTTAAGTTTTTTTTTTTTTTTTAAATCCAGACAAAAATGAGAATTCAGTCTGGCAAAACAACAGCTTGAGTATAAAGCCTCTGGAATAAATGAAAGTTTTCATACATTTAAAACAATTATAAAAATATAGGACTATATAAAAGAAGTTTGCTTTTCTGAGTATGAAATGAAAAATCCAGGCAAGCTAAACTATTATGAAGGGATTGAATTATGCCAAAACATTTTTTTAAATAATAAAAAACCCGCACTATGCTTGTTTAAAACCAGCTATTTTGTTTGGCTTAATAACAAATACAATTATAAAATACCCTGCCATCCAATCTCACATGACAAGGATACTTTGATTGAAAAGAACACTTTGTTTCGAGAGCAACTGTATTTGCACAGAATCTAAAATGCTACTTATCTAACCCATTATGGCAGTCTTGTGAATGATGAAGGGGATTTATTTCTTCTTGGCATGGATGACACAAGACAATATTTTGTAATTTATTGGCGCTCTGAAGAAAGAGATCAAAACCAGAATTTTCAAGCATGGATGCTAGAAATTCATATACATATTGGCTGTACTTTAAACCAGTGGCCCCCATCTTTTTGGATGCCAGGGAACAGATGATGGTTTCTCCGTAGACTGGGGGACATGGGTACACACTGGTTCGAACCCATGTATGTGTAGATGGCACTTCACTCACTTGCATGGATCAGTCCATGGCCTAGGGTTTAGGGACCCCTGCTTTAAACCATGTCAAGAACTCTTCAACATGGTACTATTGTATCCTTCTGAGATTCTTTCCTTTTTAAATGATTACTTTATGTAGAGAAAGAAAAATGGGTCTAAGGCCCACAGGAACTCTTGGGACTCAAACTATTGTTAAAAATTCAAACCAGATTAAAGTTGGAGTAACTAGGAACTGGAGCTATTTTATTAAGCGCATAACAGAATGTAATTTTATTTCTACTGAAGTTTATTTTTTTCCCTTTTCTGCTCTACAAATGCCCCCAAATGATAATTAAGTATAAATCAATACTGAACTAAATGGTAGCCTAATTTTATAAAATAGATCTGGGAGAGAAGACTCAAGAAAACCAAACAGTGAAAATTAGTAAAGGCTGAAAATCAAAGCCTTTTATTATCTGATGAATGTAAGCTATCTTGCAGAGTGCCAATTGTGTTCAAACCATTACATACAAGAGAAACACAATGCAACCAATTGTTCATTATAATTACTGCCGCATACTCTCTTGCCAAAAAACTCTGTCCTCGCCATTTCTTCTGTATTGATTCAGTCACGGCTAAAACTTGGTATCAAATTTCATAGTATACAGTATCTCTCTGTGTTTTTTGTTGCACATTATTTTTGAAAGAAATAAAACATATGGCTGAACATTCCTTTTAATATTCCTTTTAATTAAAAGGACTGATTAACTATGAATCTGATAAACTTTAAAATGGCAATGTTTTATACCTTTATATGTTCCAGAACAGCTGTTGCTACATTTGTATGAAGATCTATGAGTCTTTTCTTTTCTAGAAGCTCCGGAAGAGAGCTGAAAAAGATTTCATTCAAATTAACTTGTCTGTTTATTCTATTTTAATAATATAATTAGTGTTATATATACAAACATGCAATTTAGGAATCAATCTCAAATCTAGCTGTTGCTACATTTGTATGAAGAGATATACGTCTTTTCTTTTCTAGAAGCTCTGGAAGAGAGCTGAAAAAGGTTTCATTCAAATTGACTTGTCTGTTTATTCTATTTTAATAATATAATTAGTGTTATATATACAAACATGCAATTTAGGAATCAATCTCAAATCTAGCTGTTGCTACATTTGTATGAAGATCTATGAGTCTTTTATTTACTAGAAGCTCCAGAAGAGAGCTGAAAAAGATTTCATTCAAATTAACTTGTCTGTTTATTCTATTTTAAAAACGTAATTAGTATATACAAACATGCAACTTGGGAATCAATCTCAAATAGTACAAATGTATCAAATAAAAATAGGGAAAGGGAGAATCCATGAAGGTGCATCTCAGAATTGGGCCTCAGGAAAATATTAAAAGTATTCAGAACGAAATAATATTTAGATCCTGTTTTGTCCTTATTTGCTAGCTATAAGATGTACTGCACAAGAAGAAAATATGAACCTGGATAATATACTGTCCAAATCCTTCTCTATATGCTCTGAAATCTTAAGACTTTGACACCCTCTTCTTTTACCAGTATGATTTTGCATATAACACAACTGTCCAGCTTTGTTGTAAACTAGTTGTTCTACCGTATCATATTTGTGATTGGTAGCCATAAAACAGTTCATGATTCAAATCCTTCCTAATAACTTAGTTATCCATTAAGTCAAATGAGGTTACAGTACAGGAATTAAAATCAATTTTGCAACACATAATAATCCATAAAATTGTTTTCAATACTTAAAGAGCACCTATTTTTCCCAAAATGTAGATCTGGAACATATGGTTTTACATCATTATACTACTTTAATATTTAATGAGGTATTTAAAGAAGAGAATTGCACTTAGTATGAAATATAGTCTAATATCAGAATAAGGAAGAAAATTGATTAAATGGTGAACTTCTTGCCCATTAAAAGTCTTTCATACTTACCTAACAGCTGAAGTTAGTTTAGCTGTATTATCAGACAGCATACTTATTGCTCCTTCATCTTCACCTTCCAGCCCCTAAGAAGAAAAATTGTATTTTTATTTATTTTTAGTCATATGTGTATGTTTAAAAACTAAATGGGTCATTTAATTTACACAGAATGGAATTCTCATTTTACATAACTTTGAAGAAGAGGCAGTTAAAGCAATTAAGAAAGATCACAATGAAGTCTTATTGATTATATACACACAACGTATTGTAGACCTGACATATCTGAAAAATGATTCTCTGAATAAATGTTTTAGACATACAACAAGAAATCCATGTTACATGACATTAGCATATTATGAGAGGCAAGGCAATGAAGGATTAGATATAGATGGAAAATCCTATTTCCATTGAAAGTTATCTGGAAGAAAAAGAATAGCCATCATGACAACCACAGAGGTTCCCTCTTTATATGACATCCTAACCGTTGGTTATGTTCTCTGCCTTGAGTTGGTTATGTTCACTTCCTTAAGTTATTTGTAGACTAATAAAGGCAGAATAGAAATAAAACAAACAAACTGTTCATGACTGTTGAGATCCATTACCAGTTCTGTGTATAGGGCAGTTATGGCTGCCTGAAAACACAGGCCCAGAGATGGATGCTACCATGAGATGAACAAAACATTCTTATTAGCAATATGTAAAAGTTTTCCCATTAATTAGTGTGCTCCCTTGTACCAGCCTATCTAGTAGTTAGCCAACTTCAAAGGGATGCAGGAATGTGAGCTGTTTACTTCTTCCTCCACTCCCCCTCCCTATTCCTCCACCTCACTCCCCTCTCATCTATCTCTCTTCTCCTGCTCAGGGACGAAGCAGCCCCCCTTTTCATCCACCCCTCCTCTTTTGCCCAGAGACGAAGCCTTTTGCCATGCTGCACTATTATTATTGGATTATTTAATCACTTTGCTTTTTGATGTAATTTGTATACACCTTCTCTTTGTTTGGAACTAATAAAAGAAGCCCCCCGGGCATCGCTCGGGGCCAAGCCTCATCCCAAGAAGGATTTGTCCGGTGTCTTTCTTCCCATTCGGCTACAAACATGAGCGGCCCATCAGAAGCGTGAAAAAGCCGCACATGACAGAACAGATAATGAACTTTGTGGAATAAGGAAGGTAACTGGAGGTACAGCAGAGGGAAGACCAGATATAGGTTGGATTGGCCCCAACCCTACTGGCCTTCAGGAAAGGCAGAGGTGGGCAGCACTTATGTTCACAACATGTTCACTGGTTCTGAGCACACACACACACCCCTTTGGGACTGAAATGGAGCTTCAAACATGCCACTAATCAACTCAGGCAGCTCCGGTGAGTACAGCAGGGGCAATGCAGAACTTAGCTGGGCAGCATGGGTGGGGGGAATGAGCCAGAAAATTAATTATATATGGAAAGCATAGCACAAGGGCAGGTGGGCAGGCCCAGCCAGCGATCACAGCTAAGGGTTCACCCGAATCCGTGCGATCATGCAGCAGCCCACCACTGAGGAAAGGTTTCAAAACTTGGATGTGCCCTTGGGCTTGGGAATCCCATGAAAGTGGGGAGGCCATTAAATGGTTGCACTGTGTATAAGTTTAGACAGCATCCGCCCAAACTTTTTTTGTCACTGTAATTTTTTTTAAACTGATTTTAATGGTTGAGCTTTTTGTTTATTAATCTGTCTTTTAATTGTGTACACTGCCCAGGGTCACATATAGGTGAGTTTGGATCGTCAGGTTGATTCAATAAGTAAATAAATAGCTGCAACATTAAACTGAAATTAAACTGCAACCAAAATGAGCAAAAAGCTAACTTTATGTAATGTAAATGGATTTAATTTACCTAGCACAAGGATACTCTATATTATTTTATGTATACAGAAGCAGGCAAAGTTGGCTGATTGAGAAATAAATAAATAAATAAAAATATATACATTGCTTCATCTATTTTTCTGTAGTATTTTCTCATCTCTAGTTTTTCCTCTTAGAAGATGCAAAGATTCAATTTTTCTCCCCTAGAAGAGTAAAGAACATTCCTCGTTCTCATATCTACTTGTAATCCATTTGTAATTAGTTATACCGATTGTTTGACCTCAATGTATACAATATAGATTGTGAAACTGTTTACAAGGCCGTGGAATTGATTTAAATCTTTTTTTTAAAGTTATAGAATTCTAAATTAATCAGCATTGCACTTTCAGCATATTTTTAAAATGTCAATATATTTAAAGAACCCTACGAAATCCCAAAAGAGTATTTCTATTATATCAATAAATCTTACCATTATACTTTTAAGCCGCTTCACTTCATCCTCTTGAGTTCTGTAGGATTCTAACTCTTGCTGGACAGACTCTGCTACCTCTGGAAAAGGACTAATAAATATTGTGTAAACTCTTTTTTAATTCATAATCTGTATTTTAAACATACATTTTAAAAATGTTACTTATCACTTTCTTTATACTATATTTTAAACTTGGTTTAACTTACTGAGAAAACAGTAATATAAATTGAAGCATAAATGGTGAACTGGTGGCATAAAATACTCCACTTACCTTCCTTTGTGTTTCTGCCAAAATTTATCAGCTGCAGTTAAATCATATGTTTTTTTATTTTTTTTCTTTGGTCTAGCACCTGCTACAGAATTTTCCATTCCTGAAGATTCTTCCAAAACAACTCTGTTCAAATGAAAATCCTAGAAAAGATTACTTTAATTAGAGATTATTGCCTATTACCTACTATTTCACTACACCATTTTAAATTCAAAATCAGTTAGTAAAAACACCAAAGTGATATTTGATGTTTTGCTCTTGTAAATAAAGTAGGATAGTTTTTCAATGAAAGGTAACATTTGAATTTTTCTTTTAAATTTCTCTGTATATATTATATACAAATAAGAACATGTATTTTTTCTGTTTAATATATGCCACAACATATATTAGTTTATAATTATAAATTTTGAAATTCTGAGTAATTCTGAAAGTTACTCAATATTTCAGTTAGTCTATTTTATAGCCTGGAACAAAGATTTTGTATTACACCAATGTTGATTACTAAAACTGGTAATTCAAATTATATAACTGCTCGAAATGACAATTGGTTTAATCATTTTTTCATACTTAGTAGCCATAAAGCTCAATAACCCTGGAAGATGATTCACCATAGAATGATACAAATTTAAAATATTAATTTTAATTCTTACCAGCTGTTTTTCCATTAAACATTACTCAATCTTATATGAATGTGAAAAGTATATGGAGTTGGCTTGTAAATGATAACAGCTGGTAGAATACCATATAGTTCTTCATGGAAATTGCACATAATCCCTTATTTAAAAGAACTGTGGACCATGCCATGGGAATATGGGTCAATGTAAAAAATAACTTTGTATTTAGAATACAAACCTTACACTGAATTTAATTTAACCTATTAAAAAAGTTTATGCATCACCATGAAGCCAATTATAGAGACTACAAAATATGTATTTATTGTGACAAGTCAAGTAATTAATACAATGAAATACTTTATTTCTTGATTAAAGAATCTTTCTTGATTAAAAATTTAATTCAGTTGCTGGGATCAATTCTTTCTATAAAATTGCACATTTTAGATTTTTTTAATTGGATCAAATTCATAACTACGAAAAACTACTTTTCCATTGAAGTTATTAATATGTAACATCTACACCATCTTGTGGTGATTAATGATATTTTAATATTTAATGTATAGCTTTGAGAAATAAATACTAAAGAGATCAAAACATATTTTATGAACATACTTCAGAAAAAATCTAAATAACAGACAAAATATTAGTAAATATAAAATATAAAACATGTTTTATATTTTGGTAGGACACAATCTATGAGATAGGATTTTAGACAGAATAGCATCACTTTAAAGAAATTTCATAGACATTATTTGGGACTGGCAGTAATTTTATTTAAAGTAATTAAAGTAATAGTAAAGTATTTAAAGTAATTAAACCAATTTTAAGAAATGAAAGGCAAGTACTTTTTCTCTAGACCTCCTACACAATCCATCTTCTAAACTTCTATTTCCTTTTATTAATCAAAGATACAACCTTTTTTTCAATCCTTTCCCATTGTTTTGACATATGAATCTTTTATATCTGGCACCAGTCCACAGCATACCAAAAACCGGACTGTGGAAACAAGTGAAGCCCCATTCGCATGATGCAGGCAACACACAAAACCACGCCCACTCCGGTCTGTGGAAAACCTCTCTCCATGAAACCAGATCCTGATGCCCCAAAGGTTGGGAGCCATTGTTTTATATGCTTGCCCTATTTTCAGTACATTTTCCATAATCCTTTCCAAGTTCATTAACTAAATTTTTACTATACCAACCATATATATGAAACAGTGGTGATTCTCCTTACATAATACCATGATTCTATCATATTCTGATAATTAGTATAGTAAACCTTTATTATAGGCCAATGGAAGAATACAATTTCAAGAGGTTTTGAAAGCAAATTAGGGAAGCAAGATTATTCCCCTCCCCCATGGCATCAGACTGTATGTTCCTCCACAGGACAGTTTTGTTAGATAAAATCCTTTTGACAGGCAATTGATACAAACACTTCATCACTGTGCAGGAACAAATGAGAAAAATGGAATTTCACTGACTAAAAATAATGGCTAGTGACCAAACTCAGCCATAATCTGGGTAATCTATTATATCAAAATAAATCATACTGTATATAGCAAAACTATACAACACACCTTGGATTACTTACATTCCTAATTCTATATAGCAAAAGTAAAGCTGGAATTGATAGACTTACATATGCCTTGGGATATCAGCTATTTGGAAAGAAACTGATTTTTAAATTATTGGTGTCAAGTAAGAATAGTGGGTGAGGTGCATGCATTGCATTATACTTTTGTATTATGGAGGTGGGAGTAAAAAGAAGAGAGAAAAAAGATAATACACATAGTACTTACCAGTACATCATGTACTAAGGCTTGGTAGGTCCACGTATGATGTAGAGGAGTTGCCAAATCTATATTTCTGTCAACAAGTACTAAAAGAGGTCTCTGAAAACTATAAAAAAAAATCTGTTTAGAATCTCTATTGCTATCAGTATACTTAGAAAATTCTAATGATTACAACGGTATTGGAACACTGTAGGAGTTATAATGAACATGAAGCACTGTTTCATTGAATAAAAAGTATTTGTGTATAAAATTACATTAAAAGTTAACAAGAGTCTGTCTAAAACTATTTTCTCAAATCATCAATTTTCCTTCAAGAAACATTTTTAAATATTGCTTTTATTTACTACAACAATAAGTAAGCTATGGAGAAGCAGTGACATACTTTAATTCTATAAAGCACTAATAAAATGACGTAAAATTATTTAACACCACAGCTACCCTACAAAGCATCCTTGACTATGTGTCAGAATGGTCATGCAATTGGCAACTCCAAATTTCAACTAATAAATGTTCTGTCCTACACATTGACAATAAAAACCAGAACACAAAATATAAGTTGGGTGGAAATGATTTCATAGATGACCCTCACTCTGTCAAGAACCTAGACAGCGATGGTGAACCTATAGCACGGGTGGCAAAGTGGCACATGGAGCCATGTCGCCTGATATGTGAGGTGTCACCCGTTCCTCTTCCAGGTTTCATGCGCACACGATGATCAGCTGGCTTTTGTGCGTGTGGCAGTGCTGGAAATTGGAAAAACTGGTCTTCCATTTTCTGGCATGAATATGCACTCCGACAGCTGATCAGCACGTGCACATGCCCGACAGTAACTGAAAGAACCAGAAGTTCATTTTCCAGCATACGCATGCCTCCTGGGCAACTCCTCTTCTGGGTTGCATCCCAGAAAAGTATGCACATGAAGTGCTCCCTTTTCGGCACTTGGTGCCTCATGCGCTCATGCTCCTTTTTCGGCATTTGGTGCTGAAAAAGTTCACCATTACTGACCTAGGAGTACTCATCTCAAATGAACTAAGCCCAGAACCCACTGTAACAGCATTGCCAAAAAGGCTTAAGAGTTGTTAACCTAATTTTGTGAAGTGCTTCTCCAGTAACATTGTATTGCTAACTAGGGCATACAAAACCTTTGCAAGACCAATTCTTGAATACAGCTCATCCGCCTGGAACCCACACTGTATATAGGACATTAACACGATTGAGCAGGTTCAGAGGTATTTCACAAGAAGAGTACTCCACTCCTCTACTCACAATAGAATTCCCTATGCCACCAGGCTTGAAATTTTGGGCTTGAATAATCTGGAACTGTGCTGCCTGCGGTCCGATTTAAGCATAGTACACAAAATTGTGTGCTGCAACATCTTGCCTGTCAATGACTTCTTCAACTTCAACCACAATAATACATGGGCAAACAATAGATACAAATTCAAGCTTCAAACTTGATTGCAGAAAATGCAGATTCAACAACAGAGTGGTCAACGCCTGGAATGCTCTACTCAACTCCGTTGTTATAGCCTCAAACCCTCACAGCTTCTATCTCAAACTGTCTACCATGGACCTTACCCCCATTCTTAAGAGGCCCGTAAAGGGGGCATGCATAAGTGCACCAGCGTGCCACTGTCCCTGTCTGACTGTTCCCATTTATCTGTATTTACTTCCTTTGTTCATGTTTATGTTCATACCTATACTTGTTATCTTGTACATGTTTGACAAATAAATAAATAAATAAAATAATCTTAAAAAAAATATTGCCAAAAAGTGAAAATGTTACCTAAATTGCCCAGACCCAAGTGTGTCGCCGGTGAAAAGGCTATTTCTGGCATCTCTAAGGTTCTCTCGGAGTTTCTTATCCAATTTCTGTGGAAACAAAATCGAATTTTCAAAAACCTATAAAGTTGGTGCTATATTTTTTTTGGGGGGGGGGAGCGCAGCTGTAAATTTCTTGCAAAACTGGGACAAAGACAGAAAATAATTAGGTCATGAATTTCTCAATAATTAATAAGATACATCCAAAACCATTCATATCGTAACTATTTTTCTAGATACCATTAACAAAAGATCATTCTATTGAAAATATTGTTTTCTCCAGAGCAATCCTGTTATCATTTCAGAATATTTTCTTTGTGACTGAGTTGCTGTGAAAAAATGGTGAACTGAAGATAGCTCTGCAAAAAGTGGAGCTCGCAACTGCGGGGAATGAAGAGCTGGCAAGTAGACAGGCTCGTCATAATTCTTCTCTGGATAAGAAAGATGGCTCACAAATGCTTTAGACAGCAGTCCCCAGTGGGTTTAGAGCTCTGGGAGATGAGCAAAACAGCTCTCTTGCTCAAACCATGGTCTGTTTCTTAGGGTTTACAGACTTTTTTTCTAATAACTTTTAGAAACTGCTGGTTAACTGCTTTTCAGCTATTAGGAGCCTTTGAATAGACTAGTTTGACAGTATTGGTTAAGTTTCCTTCAATCCTTAACAAAATTAGTTTTAAATACAAGTTTACAGACTGCTTTTTGAATAAATAACAAAAAGGTTATTAAACTTTGATTTTAGAAAGTGAAGGTTCGCGGGGCTGATGAGAGGCCAAACGGCATGGGCTTGTACTGGAAATGGTGCCCTGCAAACTCAAACCGCAGAAACCTCCTGTGCGCTGGGTGTATTGGCACGTGGAGGTACGCTTCCTTGATGTCGACTGATGTCATCAGGCCGCTTTCGCGGATACAGCTCAGTATGGTCTTGAGCGACTGCATCTTGAAGAGTTGATACTTTAGGTGGAGATTGAGTCTTTTCAAGTCTAAAATAGCTCTCCCCTGCCCCCGAGCTTTTGGTTACTAGGAATAAGATTGAATAAAATCCTAGCCTTTCCTGTCCCAGGGGCACTGCCTCTATGGCTTGGATTTCCAACAGGTGTTGGATCTTGGTGTCCATGAGACCCTTTTTTACCTGATACCTGGGAACAGGGCACTGATGAAGCGCCTTGGGGGGATGGAGAGGAATTCTAGTGTGAGGCCCAGCCTCATTCTTTGAATAACCCAAGTGTCTGTGGTGGTATCTTTCCATTGGGGCCCGAAGGATGTTAGGCAACCGCCAATGGGATCATCCCTTTGGGAGTCATCAATACTGACGAAATGGTCAGTTGGAGGCACCACAAAATGGCCGCCTGGTCTGGGGTTGTTGCTGGGACTGTTGTCTGCCCCTATCCCTTGTTGCGAACCATTCCTGGGAACGGTCGTGGCCCTGATTGTATGGTCTACTGTAACTGGGAACATACGGGGCCAAAGTGCCCCCAGCCACTGTGGCCCAAAAGGACTGGTGTCGAAAATACGGTTGAGGCTCCTGTCAGCGCGCCTATTAAACAACAGGAGCACCTTGTGCTTGTCCCGTGTCTTGATTAACGACCCTCCTTTAAAGGGGGCGGATGCAAGGCACCATTTGGAGTGCATATCTGCCTGCCAATGGTGAATGGCAGCAGCGGCTCAATTTGCACATAATTAATCTCCTAGCAATGCTCCTCCAGTAAATCAAGTGTGCCTAAGCCGAAACGTGGGGGGGGGGGGTGAACCAACCCCCAACCGTGGCAGGAAGATGGAGGAGGGGTGGAAGACCGCAATGCGACTCCACTCATCCCCGGAAGAAAAGCCTTGGCTTTTAAAGCTGTAGCTGGCTCAGTTGCGGCTTTACGCTGCAGCTGGCTTCTTCACATTGCCTGAAGCCCAGAGGGCAATCCGGCACCGGATCTTCTAAGGAGTGGCTGTCTGTCTGAATGGCAAGCCACCCACTCAAAGCAACACAATCAATTGCAGAAATCAAGAAACAATACCTAGATAAATTAATTGCAATTATAAAGAAACAAAAGGTAAAAGTGAAATTATTATTAGTTTGAGTTAAATTATTGTCTATTATCCTAGAGAAAATAAATTTACGTCTCTTCAGGCTGGACTGAATAAAAAAACTGAACTCTTCCAGTCAGAGGAGGTGTGGTCAACAATTTCATAACTCAGTCTCTAGGCTAATGGACAAAGTTAACCCATGCTTGGATTCTCCAAACAGCACACAGGAGAACCAGCTAGAACCAAGATTACAATTAAAGGTGACAAACACTTAAATTTGATTTATTAATACAGAACAGCACAAAATATTTTAATATTGGATATACTAAAGGATATTTGTGAACAATGGACCCAGAAGTTAATTCCAAGAGTGTCTGCCTCTACAGATAAGATTGTGTTTAAAATATGTTTGTAATGAAAGAGGAACCAATTTTACTGACATGATTGAGATTGAATTGAAAATGGATATAAAAATGATAGGCTACCAGAATAACATGTAAAAAGGAGTTACACAGGACATATAAAAGTAAGCTGCTAATGTCTTAATAATTAAAAGGTATACACAAATGAGAAATCAAGAGAGTGACCTGGATAATTTCCTTATAATGGATTTACAAAAGAGGCTTTAAAAAATTTTGTGAGAAGGAACAAAATAAAAATGAAAAGAAATCCAAATTCTAGAACATTATTTGGAAGAACTAAAGAATAAGATAATTACAAGTAAAAGGAAGGAATATAAAGTTGGTTTGTTTGATGAAAGTTAAAATAGATGTGAGAGTTAGTTTGTCATAGTAGTTAAAGCAGCAGGTTAGAAACTAGGAAACCTTGAGATCTAATCCCACTTTAAGCACAAAGCCAGCAAGGTGACTTTTGCTTAGTTAATCTCTCACAATCCAAGGAAGGAGGCAATGGCAAAAACCTTGCCAAGAAAACTATAGTGATTTGTCCAGGTCAGTCTCCAAGAATCAGAAATGGTTGAACAGCAGAAAATAAAATAAAATAGATATGTTATCTCTAGTTATTTGAACAAACCAGAATTTTAAACTATATCTAAGTTTGATAGAAGAATTAGAAACAATACACTGAAAATGGAAGAAAATCAGATTGCAACAGTACCAGATGAGATTGGAGAGAAAAGTCCTAAAATCTATTTATTTTGCATCAAAGCATTAAAGTTTAAGATTTGATTGAATAAGATGAATTGGGAAATTCTTCAAATGTGCTTGACTTGATACATCCATCCATGTGAACTTACCATCAAGCAAATGCCAAATCTCTTCTGCAATTCAAGTCAAATATATAAATAAAAATGCACTGACCCACTATAAGATTAGGTGAAAAAGTATAAAATGAATAGTCTGTTAATACTTATATGTTGTTCGCATTTGTCTACACTGTAATAGAATATGTGCAGTCAGTAAATAAGACCTAATAATGTTAGTCCAAAAGTTGGTACAAACAAAATCAAAAGTGTGATTGGGCACTTGTTTTTGCAAGCTACAGAAACTACATTAACTACTGTATAAAATCCATTCTACATTTTACATTAAAGCACATAAAATGTTTATTTCAATGTCAAATTAAGTTGTGATATTTCATAACTTACCACTGCCACCATTTCTGCTGCTGTTCCTCTTGAGCATCTAATTATTGGAATTGCTCCTGTAAAAATAATGTTCAATAAATATCCTTTGATCAAGTCTATCATATATTTAAGCTAGATTACATATTGTTTGCAATGCTGCATTGTACATTTTTAAAGTTAAAGACACAGGTGGGTCACAACTTTGATAAAACATACTGTATATAGACACCTACATACATATTTAAAAAGTAGACAAAGTTTATAACACCTTTCATAAAATAAAACAGCAGATAAAGCAACAAGAATATTATATATTGGAGGCTCTGCTAAAAACAAGGCCTTTACTAACTTTCAGAATGACATTAGTATTCTCCTGGAATAGACTTTCTAAGCACTGGCCAAAGATACCAAAACCCCAGTCTTACTAGTTCTAAAAAGATAGTCCCAAAAATTTATTAGAATACAAAAGAGAATTCAAAAGTTAATTTAATCAGTGACACAGTATATACTGGAAAAGGAAGTTCTTCAAATATTCTGTTTTCAATCATTCTGGCATTTAACATTAGTAACTAACTATTTAACATTAGCATAGAGTCCAAAAATAAATTGGCGACTAGTGCTAATTTTCAAATACCTGATCATAAGTTCACTGTATAGAAGTCCCTTTTAACATGACTTCAGGACTTCCAATGCAGAATGTATTTCAAAAATCCTGATATGATCTAAAACTTTATATTAATTGTAAAATAATTAAAAAGAAATAATTTCAAATTTCATACAAATGAACATTCTCATTTCTGCCCAATTCAAGCTTACAATGTCATATCGCTAGGAAACATAATGAATATTAAAAAAAGTTTAAATTCAAGATTCAAACTGATGAGGAATCTTTGAGAAAATGCTATTTTGGGTAGGATAAACTTTAATGCTATAACACAAGTAATGGAAAAATGAGAAAGAAATGTAGAAGAGCACATAATAGATGACAAATCCTGTTTTCTTATTATTTACTCCAGATAATATATTGAAGTAGAAGTCATCATCTTTACTAATAATTGTACAACAATGAAAAAAGTTTACACTTACCGAGTGTAACAAAGAAACAGAAAAGGCTATCAACAATTGTATCCATAATGGTCTCCATTTCTGTATCTGTTATGTCTGGTTTGTTAATGGCTATAGTATCAAGAAGGAAGAAAAATCATCACAGAGTGACTTTATTTCTAATATAGAATTCTATATAACAAATCCTACTACACTGAAAGATAAAACACACACATACGCAACACATACAACTTGAAAAATACTTATGCTTCTTCTTTCCATAATGAAAAAGATACCTTGATGCTATTAATGTAGAGAGCATCAGTCTACTGATAGACAGATACATGAAAGGAAGATTATTTAATAAATATGACATTTTTCCTTCTCGTTTTCTTGATTTGGATCAGGCAACCCAACCCCGCCTTGTATAAACCAAGTTTTACTATCATTATTTCTCCTCCATCTACCCATATTGGAAAGGAAGCATATAAGCGATCACAAGGGATTATTTTTTCACTAAATTCTGAGGATGATCCCACCAACAAATGCTAACATCCTTTTGTTTTTTGTAAGAAAGACTCAAAACTCCTAAGATCCTGGAACATTCTTTCAGAAACTAAAAGACTGTAGTTGTTTATTTTTTTTATTTTTTTGCCTCATTAAGATCCATTTTTATCTTAACAACAAATGCATGTTTAATGATGTGGTCTTACGTGTTTAATAGCAAAATTCAGTATCAGTGATTGAAAATTTGTATGCATGCAAAGAATTACAGCATTAAGATCTTATACGGTTTAATTGTACTACAGCCTCAATAATGTGATTTAAAGAATAGGCCGAAAAAAGGTCTAACAAATATTGATTTAAAATGCCACACATTACATTAAATAAAAAAAATTACCTACCATGATACGAAACAAGCTCCTTATTTTGATTGCATAACACAAACATGTCATCTTCCAAGGTAATGAAATTGAGGTATTGGTCAAAAACCTAAATATCAAGACAAAATTATCATCACTACAGAAAAATCTTTGTAGATATTGCACATATTTAATTAACATATTTGACACAATCCCAGGGCAGTAAGACGGTAAAAGCACAATATCTTTCAGAAGCCACAGTATGAGTGCTGAATCCAAAGGACCTTTACTTTTCTACTTTAACATTATTTATTATCTCATTTTTACTATTCTTTAGCAATCCTACAAAAAGATATGATGCAGAGGATTACAGTATTTAAGGATTCATAAAAATATAGGCGTTCCAAGTTGTGCAAAGAACTTCCAATAAAACAAAACCATCACAGGATACAATTAATGCCTACATGCATTATGCATCTCTGGGGTGACTCCCTCCCAATGGAATATCACCCCCCCACACCCCCAAAATAAGATTAGTCCCCAACTTGATACTTTTCCAGAAGGCCCGGAAGAGTGTTTCTGTTAGTGGGCCTGGGGAATCCGATGTTGATATGGAGATGCTCAAGCGTTGGTTTGATTCTGTTTTTTGCCATTGTGTGTATTGTACGGGTTTCTGTATTGTGATTTTTAATTTTGTAAGCCATCAAGAGTCATCACGTGGGAACATTGGTTGGCCACAGAAATTTGTTTAATAAATAAATTAGAAAATGATAAAATGTAAGAGTTATCTCAACTAAGTTTGCAACTGGCATCTTTATATATCTTTATGCATTTTTTCCTCTATGAAAAAATCCTCTTCTTACCCCATGGACGGGCTGAGTCTCAATCTCGAGTCCTCTATCAGAGGTCTAGGAGATTGAGAGTTCTGTGCTGCATTTTAGCTGTTCCTAGTATTGTTTTCTTCTGGACTCTGATATTGTTCCTAGGATCAAATGGAGTCACTCTCCCAACTTAGAAGTCACAGCCTCGAGTGCTCCTACCACCACTGAAATAATTTCGGCCTTTATTTTCTACGTTCTCTCCAGTTATTCCTTCAGGCCCTAGTACTTTCTCCAGCTTCTCATACTCCTTCCTGATGCTGTTAGTACTTGCCTCTAATACTACTGCTCTAATACTACTGCTACCTCTAATACTACTGCTGTTTTCTGGTCCTTATTTACACCATGATGTCTGGTTGATTGGCCAGTACCTGCTTATCTGTATCTGGAAGTCTCATGGGATCTTAGTCCCATTATTCTCTATGATCTTCTGTTGAGCCCATATCCTGTGGACTTCGGGTACACCTGGTTGTGCCATTCAGTGTATGCTGTTGCTGCCTGCATCTAACATCCTGTCACTGTGTGTGTTCGATTGTCTTGGGGGCTTCTCTGCATAGTCTGCACCTCAGCTGCTATCTAGTGTGATAGATACCTGTTTCTATGAACTGGTGCTTAGTGCTTCTCCCTGTGCTGATATGATCAGTGCCTCAGCGCTGTTTCTTAATCCAGCCCTTTCCAGTCATTGCTAAGGTTCTCCAATGTTTGCCACATCAGCTATCTGTCACTAGTATATCCCATGTCTTGCCATGGCACTTTCTCTGGTTGATCTTCCTGTCATATCTGCTGCTGCTTCAGCAACATATCTCAGAGTGCCATCTTCTGATATATTCCTGGATGTTCTGGATTTGTCCAGGACAGTGGCTTTAACATTCACCAGATCCCACCTGCCAGTTTCAGCTGGTGTACAGTTCCTGGGTTTTTGTTTTGTCGTGGAACTCTTTATACATTGTGAGGAGTTTCTGAGTCTTCACATCAACGGTTTGCATGCCCATATTATGGTGACCAGCTCACTATACTGGCAGGGTATCTGATGACTAGCAGGCCATTGAGATGGCTCTTCAGAACCTGCTTATCCTTTAGTGATACTTGGACACTGCTGTCTTTCTTGCCTCATCATGGCACCCATGTAACTGTGAGATATCAAGGTATTTGTAAGTGATCTCTATGTCTGCATATTCATATCCAGTATTTTGAATTATCTGGTCTATGCAGAACAGCAATGTGCACATACATCAGTTAGTGTGTGCCATACTTGATGGCCACTTGTGTGAGATGTTTTGAGTTGACTTCCAGTGTTGTTTTCCATAGTCCCATTGAGTTCTTGTGGAACAAGACTTGAGTGTCTTGTTGTCTTATATAGCATCAGGTAATGACAAATCCATGTACTGTATGTGTTAAGAGATTCCAATGCTGAAACTATTTTTTGGAATCAAAGATATACAATACCAATCACTCTACAAGCAATGTATTTTCAAAGATGTATTTTTAAATTAATTATAGATTTGTGCCAGATACATGCTTTGGAAATACATAAGCATGTGTGTCATGTTCGCCTGTATCAATATAACTTAAATTATACTTTGTACCTTAGCAACTTGTGCAACTGCATTGGCACCAAGAGCAGCATTTGCTATATCTTCCAGTTTACTTCTTGAAATGGCAGAAATAAAATTTAAATAATACGATTCATAAAGTTGATTTCTAAGATCCTGAAAGAAAAAAAGACCAAACCAAACAATGTTAAATAAGTGGGCTTTTAGTGAACAAGAGTGCTTTAAGATTAAAATATTTAGCAAACAGGACAGTAAAGATGCAATTATTTTACGCAATTTTCCATTGGACAAATTAACTGTCAGGAACTTGACTTATTTAGGAGTACAATTTTAATTTCTTATTAATTTAAACATAGAAATTATCTTTAACATATGCCATGAGAAGTTGAAAGTGGATCCATAAAACTGAAGAGCTGAGTAGATGTGGTTGTATGACATTTTGTAAAACAAACCAAGGAGATATGTTTAATTAAATTTGGGATGTCCTGCATCATGATTAGATGCATTTTTCTAGTTCCTTGCTGAGTCTACTATCACTATTGAAATTTCAATTGAGATGCAATATTTTTAGTTCCTTATTGGCAAGATTGGCATTCATTAATATAATTTTAAAAAAAATGCTTCTAAGTGAAAAAGTGCTTATTTTAAAATAAATGTCACCTGGGTTGCAGAAATGGGATAATTGGGCAAAATTCTGTAATGTGACTACTTCTTAAAATCTGGATATACTAGGCCACCTCATTTTCTGATTAAATAATTTGTATTATGGCCAGGAAGCATTTTCTACTGAAGAGACATTATACAGTGGATTATTTCCCTCCCATTTGCTCCTAAGATGGATATAAGATTCAGTCAGTGCTTCAGTTCTACAAACATCTCCGTCCGCAGTTTCTGAATAAAAAGCTATTTGGAGAGCTCAAAGAAGCATATTTGAGAAATAGGTATATTAAATACAACTGATTGTTGAAACTGAGAGTTTGAATGCCTTTTGTCTGCTGTAGAAAATATACTCGCAAAGGAAGTCTTAACTACCATTTTCCTACAATGGAATAATGACATTCTAAAATGAGATAAGATGTGACTGTTTGAGGGATACAAGCCAATGTCCAAGGTTCTGAATTCCTCTTCTTTGCTAATAAATCTTGATGGTCTCCTGACATTTAATATATGTCAATATATGTCTCTTTGTTGGAACTGAGGCAGCAGATGGATGGGAAGATCCTTTTCTGGCTCAGATGAAAGACGGCATGGCTGGGTCTAAGTTCAGAGTGATAGCTCCTGGCTAGATGATACAAAAGTCTTACTTGGTAGAGAGTGACCCCAATTTCTGCTATATGCCTGGCTGAAATCATAGCTTAGATATTCTCAAATGCCATTTTCTGTATGAGGAATTGCAGTGAAGCTCTGAAGGGGCTTGGGTGAAGGCTTGGAATACTAACCAAAGTTTCTGTGAAGAATACAGTATATGATGAATAATGATTCGACCTAATAGTCTGGTCCAGGGGTGTCAGGATCAGCTCCAACTCTGACACAACTTGCTCCAGAAGAGCTGGTTGGACCTCATCCTAAAGAAGCATTTAGCATTCCAATGCCTGAGGCACATTTATTGAGAAATCACTGGAACTGGAAAGACCATCAAGCTCCAGTGTGTGCCATATGCAATGAATAATAGAGAGCAGAGCAGCAGTTTACATGCCAGGGAAATTTTCATCTGTTACCAAGTCCGTTATATTTAAGGGCAACTGCTAGCCTGGCTTCCTTCAGTGGAAATACAACTGTTTACTGAAAACTCTGCTTGTTTGTACCCTAAATTCCTGACTACAGAAACTCTGTTGTTGTGGATATAGACCAACTGATGACCTACCCAAGACACTGAAATCTTTGGATTATGCCCCTACAAAACTTCTGCCTGATGCTTTTAGCCTTTGAAAACTCATGATAGACAAGCTTTCAAGATACTTGATTCTGTTCAAATTTTGGATGCAATTACTTATGCACCGTGTCTAAAATCTATAACATCTCCTCACAATAACATGTCTGTTCTTTAGGTAAAGGTAAAGGTTCCCCTCGCACATATGTGATAGTCATTCCCGTCTCTAGGGGGAGATGTTCATCTCCGTTTCAAAGCTGAAGAGCCAGCGCTGTCCGAAGATGTCTCCGTGGTCATGTGGCCGGCATGACTAAACACTGAAGGTGCACGTAATGCTGTTACCTTCCCACCAAAGTGGTCCCTATTTTTCTACTTGCATTTTTATGTGATTTCAAACTGCTAGGTTGGCAGAAGCTGGGACAAGTAATAGGCGCTCACTCTATTACGCGGTACTAGCAAGGAGTCCATTATCAAGGAATCCAAACTGTTTTTACTAGTATCATACTGTAGCCAGCTATTTAGTTCAGCCTTTATCTCCCCATCTAAAGAAGATAACTTTCATCATCCAAAAGTTCAAGTCACAAGTTTGATTACAGTCAAGTTTATCTCATTTGAAAACCATGAAATCCAGCATTGGATGATCACTTTCTCAGAATGTTTTCCTCACATGTAATACTAAAATGAAATGTCTACCTCTTAACAAGTCCTCAGAACATACAGCTGCCACTTTCTCATCTTATTTCTATCCCCTTGAATTCTATATTACAATTTTGTTACTATTTATAGAAAACATTAAATATATATCTACCTGGCACAGCCTATCAATATTTTCTTCTGTTGGCATTACAAAATATATTGCTGGAACATCAGGAATAGGGTCTCGATCAGAATGAAGAAGACTGAAAAGAAAAGAAACTTAAGTTATTTAATACCAAGCAAACAAACTAAAAAGTCATTTAAAGAACAAAGACGTCACTTGATCCTATGAATTTACTTAGGATTAAGCATCACAGAAAGCTGAATATTATTTATTATTATCTCTCCATAAATGATGGTTTATAATTAATTATACAAAAATGCAAACAGAACAATCTATAACAAAAACTTTTTAAAAAGTTAAACCAACATTGAGCACACTAATGTGTAAAATCAAATTGATACTTTTAAGTTCTACTCAAAAACTCAAGAATAGGGACTATTTAATTAATCAGAAAGCATTTTATTTATTCCATGACAATCTCTGTAAGAAATTGTATCATAGCCAGAAAAGAAATAAGATATACTATTCAATGAAATATATTTTCTCCTATCAGCAACCTCTGTGAACACTTTTGAACTCTATTGAGACTGTTTTGACACATGATTAAAACATATATATATTTAGATTGTTCTCTTGGTTCATTTCAGTATTTTCTAAACTAATATTTTTGTCATCAATGTCATCAAACTAGTTTAACTTTATACTATCTGACATGCTAGTGCTTCAAGTCTGCTTTTGACAGGGCAATGGCCCTGATTAGTATTGGGCCCTTATAATTTTCTCATCTACTGACTCATTGGCAGGATGTCCGATTTGCAACTTAATCTGATAAACTTTCAATTACATAAAATATTTCAAATACTATGCATTACAATATATGCAGAGACATAAACATACACAATACATACAGATGCAAAGTAATGCCCATATCTCTTAATTCTTTCACAGAGAGTAATGGCGATATTATGTCCTGGCCGAATCTGTCATAAATAAGAACCTAAAATGGAAACACAATAATATTAAGATATACACAATGCATATAATCTTAATACACTCTTTGTAAGCTCTTTTCCCACTAACATTTCCTTTATAGTTAATATTATACCTCAAAATATGGTATTATACATCTCTCTCATTAAAAAAGTAAGGACACCTTTGATTTAAACAAAGGAAGGGATGAATTATAGAAAGGATAAAACAGTAAGTTAAACAGTTTTAGTTGCAATATTAAGAATAGTTTTGAAATAAATGTTCTTCAGTGTTTACAATTGTTTTTTTATACAGCCTTCATCAAAATTTCAGGCCAGCTAATTTTCAATTGTCAATTGTTTTTTCTATTTACTTGTTTTTTACAAATAACAATTGCTCGACTATGTCACCTTATTAGCTAGAATTATAAAAAATATTTTTCAAAAATATGACATGGAGGTTAATTTGACAATATCAATTATCTTGGATAAAAGATCAATTTATAACTTGACTTACTTTCCATACTGGTTCACCTGTACTGTTTTTAACAGGTGGCACATTAAAATTCAACATGCGTTTCAAAGCCCCTGAAAAAAGAAAGAATTCCATTTTATTTGTTAATAATTATAATGATCACAATCTTAAAATATTTATATTTAGGGGACACTGCAGAGAAAGGGCTGTAATCTTTTAAATTTGCGTCCAAAATGCTTCTTTTAAACTAAAGGACTAGAGGAATTCTTGTTTATGGATATTAACATCTAAAACAGAGAACTATAAAGGAAATGAAAACTTGCGCAAATCTCTAGATACCCAGCATATTTATACAAATGTCTTAGTGAGCCCTTGACACCATCTTTATCAGATGCAGCAGGCAGAATAAATGTAATTGGAAGATCTATTCTATGTGCAAGTACTCCTTGCTGTGACCACAGTTGTGACTGGTAACTCTAGTCTATTGTTAACCATTGCACTTGCTAAGCAAAACATCATGTCACTGCAACAGGTTTACAACCTCACTTCCATCATTAAGTAGATCAGAGTGGGTTATTAAGCGAGACATCATATGACTGTGACTTGTGATTTTATTGCCAACTTCTAATGATTCTGCTTGTTGGAAGTGGGTTGGGAAGCATGCAAAATGTAGATCATTTGATTGCAGGGCACTGCAACAGTCATAAATACTCACAAAATGCCTGAATGTCAAATGCAGGACTGCAGGGATGCTGTGACAGTCAAAAACGTGAGGACCAGTTGTACAGTTAATTTTACAGCACCATTGTAACTTTGACTGGACATTAAATGAGTTCTAACTGTACAAATCTTGACTGTGATAGTCTTAAATTCCATTATTAATAAATAGGACAATTATCTTATTTAACCAATCATTCAGAAATTTCAGCTAAAGAAAAGGTAAAAACCAACTATTCAAAAGTTAACCAACAAGAAGAAATCAGAGCTACCAAACTGGTTATCGACATTGGAGATGTTCTTCCATCTGAATTTTATTAATTTAGGGAAAGTAATTACTTATAATATAGTATAATTATATCTCTATAATTTTAAACGAAAGAGGTGAACTAAAATCTAGAAGAGAATTATATGAGGAAGGAATAGAACTGGAATGGTGGGCTTACTTACAAGTCCAATCTCGATACGTAAAAGACAAAAAAGAATGGGGCATTAGGAAAGAACCTACAGAATTAGATAAAATTTTACTAGGTGAAGAGGATACAATGATTAAAAAAATATATCATTATCTATTGGATTATACAATAGAAGAAGAGCAGGTAAAGGAAACCATGTTAGCATGGAGTAGGAACTTTGGTTACAGCATAGATTTGGACAATTGGCAAAACTTATGGGAAAGAAACAGAAAGTTAACTTTAGCCACCTCATATAAAGAAAGTTTACACAAGGTGGTCTACAGGTGGCACATCCCACCCACAAGGTTAGCTAAAATTACCAAAAATGTATCACCATGATCTTGGAAATGTAATGCTGCATTAAGGACCTTCTACTATATGTGGTGGGAGTGCACGAAAGCTAGGGCTTTTTGGCACCAGATAAGAAAGTATTTGGAAGAGATGCTAATCAAAGGATGGAGTTGAGGCCAGAATTATTTCTACTAGAGATTACAAAAGAAAAACATGGCAAAGGTGGACTATATTTAATGCTGCATATTTTAACGGTGGCAAGACTGGTTTTTGCAGAGAAATGGAAAAATAAGGAGATTCCCTCAGAAAAAGAAATAATAAATAAGATGTGCGCAGAGATGGACAGACTGACTCTAGACCTCAAAGACAAGGGTGAGACGGAATATCACGAAATCTGGGACAAATGGTGCCGATGGTTAGAAATGAGGGAAAAAGGCCGGGACAGAAAAACACAGACTAGTTAAGAATTAGAAAATATGGTATTAAGAATGTGTGATATGTAGAAATTGGATATATTTGTATGATTAGTAATTATATAAAAGAAAGGATCAACAGACTGGTAATCTGACTGACTACATACACCTATGTAATGGATATAAAAAAAAATTGTTGTAAGATCTAATCACTATATGGAAAGGTTTATGCCAGCAATATTGCACTATGTCCAATGTTTTTAATGTTTATCTAATAAAAAACTTTATTTTAAAAAAGAAGAAAACAGGGCACATGTAATTTATATTCACAGTTCTTCATAGCAATAGCAGCACTATGAAGCGGTATATAAGTCTAAGTTCTATACTTAAGACTTATATACCTCTTCATAGTGCTTTTAAAGCCCTCTCTGCGTGGTTTACAGAGTCAGCATATTGCCCCCAACAATCTGGGTCCTCATAGCAATGTAAAAAGCTAAAGAAAAAGAGGGATTTGTTTACCAACTTGGGTTTCTTATTATAATTATATGGAAAGAAATAAGAAGACTGTTGTCTTCTACTGCTCTCCTCATATTGGAGGAGACATTTATAAAAACCTGTTTATGTGTAATGCTTACCATTTCACGGTAAGCACTAATCATGCAGACGGTGCCACTGATACCTTTTTTCAATCAACAATTAAGGGAGAGCAATTAAAAAGTATACCACCTTTATATTATTATAGAATAGAATAATTAGGGTAGAATATAGCAAGCAGCTGTTACCAAGGATAAATTTTTAACAGGCCTGTCTTGGACTTTTCCAATAAAGTCCACTCAGGCTCCCAGGAATCAAATTGACAATGTATAGTAGACCTGCCATGTTTTATCAGGTCTCTGCATGTGCCAAGGACATGGTTCACTGAATACTTCTAGGATAGGAAAATGGTTTACTCAACATGTTATAAGTCTTAGAACAGTGATCCCATTGCATCTAACAGTGTGGTTGGGTGCTCAACCTTGATTCTTCGCAGTAAGTTTTCAATGAACAGGAAGGCAAACTCATCTGGCACTTTTACAGAGAAACGTATGAGCAACTGAGGTCTACTTTTACCATGACCTCTTTCATACTATCAGACAAGTTGGTATTATATTTTCTACTCTCTATCCTGACACCCCCATTTTTAATGTTTATTTAGTTTATTATTTATGGTATCTATTTTTATGGTGCTTCTCTGTTCCATCTACCTCAATTACTATGATAGAAGGACTGCCCAAATTTTTCTGTTTGTCTTCAGTAAAGTCCCTGTTTTTGGCAGGCGGTACTTTCAAACTTTCCAAAGTTTTAAGAGTGTTCCTTCAACCTGCCACCTATTACCTTTCTACCATAGGTAATTGCCATCTTTGGATGTAGTGGCAAGAAATTATGGGAGCTGTGATCAAACACACCTAGAAGATATCAGATTACACGAAGCACCTGTTAGATATACTGCATAAAAGGAAGACCCTGACTTGTTTCAAGAACTAATATATATGAATAAGTATAATCTTTATTGCCATTGTACCTAAATACAATGTAATTGGTTTTCAAATGTCTTTAAGAAGTCTCTATACAAAGGTATAGCAATTATGGATTCTCTACAGGTTACTAAATTGATGAGAGCAAGAAAGGTATATCCTAAAAATCAAAGCATACCATGGAAACCTGCCAAAGGATCCCTCCAAATAAAACATATTGAAACAAATTGACAAAATAAGTTTGATATGGATTAGGGAAAAATGAGATTAGTTTAGTTATATGTTAACTCTATATATAATTTAACTGTTCTGAACTGGACACATTCTTCCTTCTTCTCAGCATAATAGCAAATAATTCTACTTCTAAACTCAACCTCTGAGAGCATCTGGAAAAAAATATTTTACCTACGATATTGGGCTATAAACCAAACTATAAACTCAACGTCTCATAATTTAACAGAAGTAGAGATGGCATTTTCTATATGGGAAAAAAACCTGACTTTAATGCAACTTTCCTCACCAAGTGATTTCCAGATGGCTTAGATGACAAACCCCATAATCCCAATGAGCATAATCACTGTTGGATGGGATAGATGAAGCCATCCATTAAATCTGAGGACACCTGGTTGGGGAGTGCCCCGTTAAAGGACCCTCTGTTTTACAAACTCCAAGTACATGTTTCTTATAAACCCGTGATGGTGAGCCTATGGCAGGCGTGCCACAGGCAGCATGCAGTGCCCTCTGCAGGCCTGCGAGCCATCATCCCAGCTCAGCTCTGCCGAGCATACACCTGTGTCTCCAGCTGGTTTTCGAGTCTCTGCCATGCATATACTGGGGGGGGGGGAGTGTATGTAGGAGACACATGCATGCGTGTGGGGGTGTTGCACACAGAGGAAGTTGTGCATGCATACGCAGGTCACGTGGGGTGGGTCATGTGCGCATTACACTATGGGTGTGTGCGGGAACTTTTGGCACTCAGCACCAAAAAGATTAGCCATCATTTTTATAAACTATTCACTCTTATATTTTCAATTTGTCTTGTTGATTGACCAGCCTAAAAATTAATTCAGGTATTCCTTTCTCTCTGAAACAATTTCTTTTGCAAGGCAGTATAGGCAGTTACGACCACAATTGTGCGGTGGCGCAGGGGTTAGAATGCAGTACTGCAGGCTACTTTTGCTCACTGTTTGCTGCCTGCAATTTGGCAGTTCAAAACTCACTAGGCTCAAGGTTGACTCATCCTTCCATCCTTCCAAGGTCGGTAAAATGAGGACCTAGATTATTGGGGGCAATAGGCTGACTCTGTAAACTGCTTAGAGAGGGCTGTAAAGCACTGTAAAATGGTATATAAGTGTAAATGATATTGCTATTGAACCCAAAATTTATGTTGCTAAGTGAAACATTTGTTAAGTTTGTCCCATTTTATGACTTTTTTTACCACATTTGTTAAGTGAATCACTGCAGTTTTTAAATTAGTAACACTCTTGTTAAGTGAATTGTAACACTCTTCTGTTGTGAATGTGAATCAGTGGCCAATCATCGGAATACAAATCACATGACTATGGGGGGGGGGAGGACGCTGCAACGGTCATAAGTGTGAAAAATGGTCATAAGTCACTTTTTTCAGTGCCAGTGTAAGTGAACCGTCGTAAGTCGAGGACTACCTGTACTGGTGGAAAGCCAGCTTCCCGTTTTGCACCATGCCCATAAACTTTAGCCCACGAACTCATTCCTAGCAGGTAATCGCCAAGGCTAAGCGAAAACGAAGATAAACAAAGGCCTTCAGAAGCACCCTAAGCGGGAGGCACAAAGAGGACAACCCAATAGTGGGGGCTCCATCAGCCCAGCCGAGACTTGGCATGCCCGCCCGCCCGCTCTCACGACGGGGCAGAAAACACTCCTCTCACATTAAAAGCACCGAGGCAAGCTACAGCGACGAAGGGAGGGTCGCAATGCAACACCGGACAGACACGAAGGAGGAGGCCCTCGCCTTCTCCTTGGAGCCAGTCCCGGCTTCAAGCGTGCCGAAGAAGGCAAGGCGACCAGACCAAACAATCCTGCGAGCGACCTAATGCCGGGCACTCACCGGTCTGCTTCTCCCGGATGCTGGCCGCCATCTTCCCCTGATGTTCGGGCCGACTCCGCCCCCCTCACCGCCGCGCCATCACCAGCCCGGCAGACGTGGCGCGCCAGAGGACTACGCGGGTTCTTGCGGGAGCGCGGAGGGCGGAGTCTGCCGAACTCATGGACGACCTGTCGGCGCTGTTGCTGCTCCGAGGGCGGCTTCCTTCGAGAAAGGGAGGGATGCCGCGTCGTAGTAGACCGGCGCCCCCGTCCTGCTTCTTGAGGAACGGGAGTTGGGATTTGGCATTCTCCTGTTGCGTTCCTGCGTTTCATTCTGAACATTATTCACTTTGTGGGCGACAGTTGGTCGAATGACTGGATTGATAATCCTCGGCACTGTTTTTATGGGACTTTATGCGTGTGAAAGCGGATCGGCGCGTTTAAGCTTTCATTTCTGACCAAACCTATGGTTTTGGGGACTTTTAGTTACCTTTTGTTCAATACATTCTTACAACTACTCCTCCTCCTAGCATTTTCCCCGCAGGTTCCAAGGTAACTTGCGGGAAAAATGCTAGGATTGTGATGACGACGACGGTGGAAGTACACGTAGGATCTTGTTCTTTAAACTTTAGCCTCACTTATTATTGCGTCTTAAAAGGAAAACAAAACCACAACTTTTCCGCATGCTAATTAAATCCCCTTCTTGATTTTTCAGGGTGGCTGAGTGCTGACTGGAACTCGCATATCTATCTCCACAGGCATTGAACGCAATTACTTCAGGAATAAAACGAAAAATACTGTACAAGATTGTATTTGTCTCCCCAAATACCAAGAATGATTTAAGTTCCACTCTTTTTTCTAGCAGTGGTTAATTATCCCTGCATTTCACAGGAAAGTGAATTGTTAGTATGGTTAAGCTTTCACTTTCAGATTAAATTCTTTTTGGTGAGACAGTGGCAACTTCAACCAACCTTTATTAACCAATCTTTGGAACAATAGTTATATATAATTATTTTCATGCATTCCAAAGGAACTATAAATAATATCCTTCTGAAGTTTTTATTTGGACATGGAAAGTACATCAGTAACATTTGATCAAGTTGGGTTACATGTCCATCCATCCATACTTTATAGATTTATCCCACATTTAATTTTATCATTAGACTCACAATGTTTAATTATTCTCTAAAGAATTTGGACCAACAGTACTTAAGAAATAAACATGTAACACTTTTAACTAGAAATCCTTGATTTATTGCACTTTACATGGACATGTATGTATGTATGTATACACACACAAGATAGTTCCATATATTGCTACAAGTAACTTAAAAGCAAAGTACAAAAGACATTGAAAGTTACAAAAGGCTTCTTGAAATAATAGTTTTACATAAACCATAATTTACAAATGTGTAACCTTATATACAAGATTTATATTCCACTTTTTCTTAATGCTAAGTTTCATCTTTCAATAGTACGTATTTCCTTTTTCACATGTATTTTTCTCAATAGATACTTGTGTTAGAAGAAATAGTGAATTCTTGAATCTTATTTCAAGTACCTGAGCTCAAAAGGAATACTGTTGCCCTGGACTGACACACATATATAAATCCGATTAATTTACAGTGTTTCTTACTTCTCTGTTGTAATCAGTAGATAGTGTATTATACAGTCTAGCAAAGTTCAAATTCAAGTACTATAATAATTGGAAGAATGTGTGATACTCTGTACAGATAAATTACATTGAGAGATTATTAAGGCATCTCTTATTTCCTTAGTCCATCCCCATAAACTGCTATAAATTTTGCTAGAATCACATGGTAAGGGCAAAGAATGGATAATAAGAAAAACATCCAATATCAATCATGACACATAAGCACTATTGACTCTGGGCAACAAAGGGAATCTCAATATTTATATATTATGACTGTTACAAAGAAATAGGATGATATTGCAGAAATTTCACTGTAAAATAATGTGACTGAAGCAATAATAAAACAAAAATTGTTTTTTCATCACCATACCCATACATATGCTAGCATTATTGATAGTTCTGATTTATATTACTACCTTGTTTCCACTAGAACCAATCAGAAATTAGGCAAAATATGATCCTCATGTAGAAAAAGCATGACCAGGAGCAAAACTACAAATTCTATACATTTGTAAGATATTTTGCAAATATATCTTCCTTTAAATCACATGAATATTGAAAAGCACATTAAAACATGTTCTAGTAAAGGCATGGCGATTTGTGATTCAAAAAGCTGTAATTTTTCATTAGTCACGTTGAAAGGTCTTAAAAAAACTACATATATAACCATGTTATTCACTCACACCAAAAGGCTATTTGTATGTGACAAAATAATGAAAGTATAAAGTTCACTGAAAACTATCTACAGCTATCTGTATATCCTGTAAAACATTTATAAAGATATGAAATGTGAGAATTGCCAACATTTACTTCTGAAAATGTTTCTGAAATGTTTATAAGCAATTTTTCTAAGTAGTATGCAAGAATTATTTAATCACCCCCCAGAAAGTTTCCATTTTCAATTGTCACACATACTGCTTAAACATCAAATTGAATTTTGTAAATTTACATTAATTTTGCAAAACTAAATTCAAATATTCTAATTAATTCTAGCATACAATCAAAACCTCAGTGGAAATCAATAAACCCCAAAGTAGTAAACTATATCTGTCAAATTTCTGCAAAAATGCCAAGATAAAAAAATCTCAACTTTTCAAATGAAAATGTAAATAACCCTATATTAACACGAAACACCTTCTAGGCAACACATATAAGACTATGTGTTCTAGTTCTGCCTTGGGCTGGGTAACAATGGGTTAGTCACCTTTTCTCAGTCCTAGGAAATAGGCAATGGAAAATACTGAAAATCCTCTGGGGCGGACAACGACCCTGCAGGGATTTGTCCAGATAGTCTCTGAGAATCCAACATAATTGAATGGAAGGGGAAAAAGTATATTTAAAAAATTACCTCCAAGGTATTTACATAAGCATAGTATTTGTGTATTCAAAATTATGTATAACCATTTTTTTAAAAAAAAACAAATTACAAAATACCACATACAAGCAATCCTCAACTAGTAGCCATTTGTTCAGCAACTGTTCAGTTACACTGATCTTGCACAAATGACTGATCCTTGGAACTTTGGCTATCTCAGCAATCCTGCAGTAACATGATTGTAATCTGAGCACTTGCAATCCTGTGATCAAAAGTCAATGGGAAAGCTGCAGGGAAGGTTGCAAGTTGTTGGAGTAAGTCATTGCATCACTCCACACCCAACCCTGCACAGCACCTCTCATGGACCCTTTCCCACCTGGCAGCAGCTACTTACCTTCCTGCCAGTTTGGGACTTGCGCTTTTCCTTTGGTTGTAGGAAGCTGCCAGGGAGTTACCTCATCTAACAATTGTGGGATTCATTTAATAAGAACCAGGACTTCAGGAATTGTCTTTACTAAGCAATGCAGTTGTGCTTTACATCTTAGCAGTGGAAATTCCAGCACCAATTATTGTCCTAAGCTGAGGACTACTTGTAAATCAGTAGACTTGTAATATACTTTCTGTCATTGATCCACAAGCTTTGTCTGGTTCGGTAGCCAGAATTTAATTAATTCACACTGAGAAAAGAATTTGAATGAAATATTATCTCAATCACACCAAAAATAAGGCCCACCAAACTGCTTGTTTACAGAAGAGGACAAGTAGAATTCTAAAAGCCAGGAAATAAATGTTCCCTTTCAGACACATTTTTTAATTCTTTAATATGAGAAATTGAAATTTGCGGTTGGAAACTGTGGGAGTAGAAACATTCCATCCATTCTGCTGAAATATTAACTCCATAATGCTGAGTGCTTTCTCTACCGATGAATTCAAGTTGTTGAAATACATATCATAAACCTACCATAAGATTTATTTCAAATCACTAATATATATGCTTGCCAAGGATGAAACTCTACTAATGAAGTAGCCTTATTACTATATTCTGATATATATTTTGCCTAACATTTCAGTATAGTGTACACTGTATACTTTTCACCCACACAATTAACGTTCAATAATTGAAATTCAAACAATTTAGAGTAGCATGGATAAGCTCCAGAAGTTTTTATTGTGCAATTTAATAAGTGATGACAGAAATTACTTTTAAATGATAAACTACTGTGATTAATCTTTCAGCTCAGCACAACCCAACAAAACCAAGAGGAAAATGTGGTCCAGGGGAAAACATAAATTTGCTTTTTTCTCCTTTTAGTAAAAGTAATGTCATATCAATTTGAATTAAAGCAGTTGGTGTATCCATACATGTATATGAAAATGTTATGTGTGCATAAATTATTTCATCACCTATTTCATAAGATTTAATACTCTACATGGTGTATCTATAATGCATCCAATAGAATAGATTTTAGAAAAATGAAATCAAATGCATAATTTTTCTAGTTAAGTACCGAGTAGGGAATGCCATTTCTAACTTTGGTATTTCTAGGACATATATAAAGCTAATTCATCTCACCCTTCTTCTAAAAGTCTAATTTAAATCAAATGATATCTGCTTCTACATACATTTTCTATAGTATGCATAGTCTTATAGAAGATAGTTTCAGAATGAAACATCCTATTCCAGGTTTGAAATAGCTGCTTTAGTTAAAACAGATTGAAGTTTAGACCTCTTCCAATATAGTCAGAATAATGCTAGAACTCCTCTGGCAAGGGTAGAACTGTTATTTCAAGGATAAAGCACTCTATGTCCAAACATATTTCCATCTCTATCTGAAATAACGAAACTGAGTTAAAAAACAAATCTGACACCAATTATAGCTTTTCTGACTACAAAATTCCTACAATGCATTTTTTAAAAATCCTTTTATATTCAAACCTTTTTTTAAAAAAAATAGAATGATTACAGAACGGAAACACAATTATTTGGGCATAATCCCACAAATGTTCAAGGCATTATGAATATTTAAGAGAAGATAACATGAGGTAATCTTTAGGGTTTTTTTCATATTTACAATTAAGAGCTAGAATGCTTTAAAGGAGTCTGTGTGTGAAATTAACATTTCCTGAATCAGGAATCCACATAAATAAACCCATGCTTCAAATCTTTACACAAAAAGACAATATATAAAAGTTGATATATTACAATTTGGAAAGGGTTCCTGAATGCAGAGGTTTTGATGTGTAACATTTATGATATAAAAAGGAGGAACACCACAATCTCAAACCACCAGTTACTTGCTGGTTTGGCCAAAAAACAAACAAAACCCAGAACAAATGTAATGCAAAATTGATTTAAAAGCTTTGTTTGCTCATCATTTTGAAGCACTGTTCAAAATGTAAAGACTGAAATTATGCATTTCCATGATCAAGTTTTAAACCTGTGAGGATGAATGTCTGTTTTCCAGTAGGCAAGTAGCAAGCTTCTTGTGTGCTTCATCATTCAGTTTTCAGTATCCATTGTAGCAACTAACAAACTCTTGACTGTAATAGGGCACGTTGGATGGCAATATCCAGAACTTTTTTAAAATTCTCATAAGATTTTGTTATTGGAAGCTGTAAACAGTTAAGATCTCTCTTTCCGATGGGATATTTTATATGCAGAAACATAACTGAAGGATCAGGTTCAAAGCCAATGGGTGGAATACTGCGGATGCCAGTTGCAAATACTAAAATATCCTCTAGAGTTACAGATGACTCACCACCTACACCAAGAAATATGAAGATTGTTTTGAAAAAGCTATTGTAGTTAATAAAAATATTATATTAGTGAAGAAATTACAGATGAAATGGAATAACATTTTGACTTCAGGAAATCGTAACTGCAAATATGTTAAATAAAAGTTCAAAAACAAGCTTTTCTCCACCAAGTGCAATCTGATGTCTTATTTTACAGGTACAAATATATTTCAAAAGTTCAAAATTCTAGAAGTAGGCAATAGCCCATTTTCTTACCTTCTGTCTCCTGTAAGTAACCCATCCAGAAATCAAGGCATCTGGCCTTGTCTGCTCCTGATGTACATTGAATTGTAAAGAGATCACCAAGAAGTTTTGCTGAAAGTTTCTCGGGTTTGTGACATAATATGCTACAGAATGCATCGGGATTCATTTGTATTTTTTCCAAAACACCAAGTGTTTTCAAACCTTGTCTAAAGCTTTTGGGGAAGAGAGAAATGCAAGGAAAGAAACTGCTGAGTCTTTAGTACTGTTTTTTTTAAATACAAAGAACCTTGTGAACACTACCAAATTTATTTTTTTTATTACAGATTCCTCTTATTTTAAAGCAAAAACATACTAGATAATCTCTAGTAGCAAGAGGATTTAAAATTATGCTTACTAAAACGATTCCTGTGATTGCTTCAACTAGAAAGGCAAACTCACATACTCATAGCTTGAATTGGTTCTTTATCATACCACCCATTTGTTCCAAATCTACTAAAATCTCTTGAAATATCTTAGAAAGCTTCATAACCTTTTGCTTGAACAACTTATGATTGTTGAAACTATCCTCAAAGGATTTCCAAGTGTTGAGCTCCTACTTCACATTTTATCAAAATTATTAATTTGCCAATACTACTTGATTAAAGAGAAAAAACAATTTGGTGAAAATAACTAAGACATAATGAACAATCATATTTTAATGGACACCCACAGGACATCACATAATATTTTCTTGCAAAACAGTTGAAATAATTTTTAATTAGTTAAAAATTCAAAAACGATAGGAATGATTTCCACAGCAAGCAAACCTTTCAAATGGTAAAAGAGTTCTTTTGATGACATGGTGATTCAGAATCTCATTCACCAATATGTTCTTATCACGTAGTGCTGTTACAGGTTTTAAACATCCAATAGAAGCAAGATAGTCAGAGCAATCACTTATTGCTGATTCTAAGTTGCTCAGTGTTCTGGCAGATTTTATCTAGAGAAGAAAACCAAGCATATTTGCACCATCAACGAACCATTCCAGGTAATACATTCCCTGGGAACAACCTGTTCCCTTTCTCCCACCATATCTCCCCAGGCCTGTCACCACCATTATACTCTGCTTCATCCCACCTCCCCAATGGAAACCCCATCCCCAAATGTAGGCCCTCTAATTCTCAAGGCCAAAGATCACCCACTGTTTTCTACAACCATCCCTGGGAAGGGAAGCAAAGTACACTGTGGCACTTTAACTTCACTAGTTCTGTGTAACAATGATATTCAGTAACCTTCTCCCATTCCACCGCTAGCACTGACAGGGTGACCCTGGTCCCGCTGCTCTCACCAATTGGTAGAGAGCTTACTTCTCATTCATTCCCCATCAAGTCCTCTTCTGACTCTCACCAGAAACCAAGGGAAATCAGTCCCCAGTCCACACTGGGAAACCAATAGGTCAGCAGTCAAGGCACTTAGACATCAGATGGCATCTACATTGACATGATCTACAGTTGCTTTCTTCCTCCTTGGGACTACCAGGAGAATAAGCAAAATGATCTCCATAGTAGAGGGGGTAAACAATAATCTTCCACTGTATTGTAACACCTCTCTTCCACCCTCATACCTTCAAAGTCTCAGCATCCATCAGTGCTAAATAGATGGTGCAGGAAGGAGCCATGCCCACCACCACTGTTCACAAGCGTAGTTAGTATAACAAGTATGGCCGTAGACCAGAACAAATTCAATCCAGTGTAAACAGGTTCCTGAGGAGCAGACTAAACTGGCGTAAAAAAACATTGTCATGTTGAAAAAACTGTGGCCAAATCCACAGATGCATCTCATCTTGGTAGGCAAGACTAGTGTGCAGAGTGGTTCATCCTGCAATGTGCTCCTTCAGTCTGAACAAGTCCAAAAATAGTCCAAGCGGGTCTACAAGTCCAACTTCCATCTAAGTAAGTGCCACCTCCCTCAAAAACATCCTTCAACACACAATAACACACAATCATGAACTCATCTGTGACTCTCTCTCCTCTTTCTTACTGGAAGTTTATATATCCTACTGTCTTACAGAGCAATTGCTCACCTTCTCTATTGCTTGCAAAACGCCTATATCAGCAACGTCTTCTATTGTTGGCTTCACATTCTCTGTGCCATAGACGAGGCAGTGAAACAAGGTTTTAGAAAAGAAGCTAGGAGATGAGCCTCCATGAACCAGAGAAACTGCAATCATTTTTCCTGCTTCATAGTATAAATTATCTTTAAGAGCTGCAAGTACAAATGGTATGTTACACTTACTGAATACAACTGACAGAAACTTGTTTTAATATGAGAAAAAGGTTAGACTAAAATCCATTCCATTCCCCACCATTCAGTCAGAACTGAAGAAGTTTCTTGGATGAGAAGCAAAACGTTTTCAAAGAAAAACCAAAAAAGTCTGATTGCCTTTTGAAAAGCAGGTTGGGACAACCATGTCTTGGATGATTGCGAATCTGCATGGACATTTAGACCAAAACATAGTATTCTTTTTTCTACATCATTAGTTAGAATTAGAAGCCTATTAGGCAAAAAAGGGACTCTTATTTCTGCTGAGAACTAGATATAAGATACAATTTGTTTGTGAACGTGGACATTCTGTGAAGGAGGGGAACTCCTGTGGCTGCTGGATAAACAATAATCTTTGGGATGCAAACCTTCCTCAGGCCCAGCACTGAATTTCTCCCCTCCCCTCACTGGGAAGAAGATCTGAGTTTCTTTCCAGTCTTTCTACTATTCAAAAACATTGTGTTCACTAGCCGTCTACCCAGAAACCTAGCTAGCATTACGTTTTTGAACAGTAAAAAGGCTCAATCCAGCTTTTTGGGTGTGTGTGTGCTTTTTTTGCAATTGTTCTAAATTGTATGAAAGAATTTTTAAAATGAGTTATACCAATTCCAGAGTATCTGGAATAATTAAAATAATATGAAACTTCTACCTTGAACTTGAGAGAAAACTTACAATAAATTCTGTTTTGTTTTGTACTTAGGCCAAACATCTAAAATAACAATTTTAATATATTCTAACAGTTAATATTAGAATAAAGGCTCTGCCATCATTATTTATGTCTAAACATAGCTAGCAATCAAAGCTGCATCCCCTCCTGGTGTAAATTCGAAATATTTACCATGTCAAGCTTACCTTGAGAATCAAAGGACAAATTCTTTGAGTGGTCCCCTTCAAATAATGATGAATTCTGAAGATGAAGCATCAGCAATTGAAAAAAATCTTCCTTTGATGAGCAACAGAGATCCACCTCTGTTTTATTCCTGCAGTTTATATACTTTACTTCAATAGTGTTAGCAGGATTGAAGTTCCGCTTCTGAAATCCTTTTAGAGCACTACCCCAGATATTTTGCCTGATGATATTCAGTCTTGTTGGTTTGGAATTAATCTGTAATCTTAATTCCCTCAAAATTTTGGAGACTTCTCTTTTCTGCATTCCAAGTTGCCTATATGAATAGCAAAGCATCTATTTAGGTACTTCAGCAATAATTCTGATGGCAAGCAAGTACCAGGAGTATTTTGTATAAAGTTATCTCTAAAATTATAATAATGGCCTAATTTTAGATAGGGAAACAAAAGGATTATTCTGCATCCTAATCTGAGACCAGTTTAGGCTTATTAAAGAAGTATCTAAAATCACATTTCTATTGATAGCAAATGTGGGTTGTGATATTGTTGTAACAGAAAGTCTTGAATGGAATTCTGATTAAGTAATACTTCTATCAAAAGAAGTATAGTACTTCTTGAAAATGTGCACTGGAGAGTAATTTTCTTGGAACAGTGTAGTCACTTCCAAATATTTGTGTGGGTGAAGTACTTCCCTTCTACAACTGAGATCATTGGATCGTAATCCTACTAGCTACAGCTAGTCCAGAATGCGGCCGCACGAGTGATCGTGGGCGCACCACGGTTCGCCCACATAACACCGATCCTCCGTGAGCTGCACTGGCTACCTGTTGGTCTCCGGGTGCACTTCAAGGTCCTACTCACCACCTATAAAGCGCTCCATGGTAGTGGATCTGGCTATTTGAGAGACCGCCTTCTGCCAATTACCTCCCTGCGTCCCATCAGATCGCATAGAGTTGGCCTCCTCCGTATTCCATCCGCCAGTCAGTGCCGACTGGCGACTACTCGGAGGAGAGCCTTCTCTGTTGCGGCTCCGACACTATGGAACAATCTCCCCGTGGAGATTCGTACCCTCACCACCGTCCAGGCCTTCCGCACAGCCCTCAAGAACTGGCTAACCCGTCAGGCCTGGGGATAATCTTATTTCGCCCCTCCCGAATGCTGAGTGAATGTTGAGTTTTACTGTCTAATTTACTTTGTGCACATTTCTTTTTTCGTATTGTCCCACACTCCCCTTCCTTTTTTTTGATTGTAAGCCGCCCTGAGTCCCCTCAGGGAAAAGGGCGGCCTATAAATAAACAAATCTAAATCTAATCTAATCTAATCCTGTCTCGTAATGGAAGATCCAGTCTATCTGCATGTCCATTTAGATTCCAAGCCTACATCACTAATTTTGAAACAATGCGTAGGATTCTAAAAGCTAAAATTGTATTTATTATTATTTTATGGTACCCATAAAAGGCAAACTATTTTTAAAAACCAAACTAGTTGAGCCCTTTGAGTCCAACCAAAAGTAATGGGAAACTGTTGCAAGAGAGAGAGTGGCATTCAATGAGTGCTTCCATATACCCACTCAGTTTTCCTGGGGCCAATTCTGAGGTTTGGTTGGAGGACGTTCTCGCTTAAAATACTGAATAAATTTTTATTTGTCAACTTGGTTGATCCCTCTATGAATGGAAGGAATCTTGGGGGATAAAAGAATTCAAAAGCTATTTGCAATATGATCTAAAAGTTATGCAAAGTACTCAGCTCTCCTTGTTTTTTAAAACTCAGTCATTAAATGCAACTCTTTTGTTAACTTACATTTTTTTTAAAGACAAATTCCTTACTGAAGGACTGATGAAGGCAGATGGGGATAAAAATCTGTTATTAGAAGAGGGGAGATCAAGTTGGGAACACGGAGTAAAACCATTGGAGCACACCATCTTTGGGGACCTGAAGGGGAAAAAAAACATCCCCAAGAATAACTTAATTTTTACTCACGTTACAGATTTATTTTTACAAATCAAAAGCTGAAAACACACAAGTTCAAGCATATATATTTCATTCCAAACCTACTTTGAAGGCAGTTCTTCAAATAGTTCTATCTATAATATATAATGTATTTTTTTTAAAAAAGACGTTAAATGAATTATGCTGGTTTCATAGAAAAGCTTGTTAATATTGCATAAACGTTTACAGATTCCCTTACACACAAGAGTACATCACTTGCTGAGAGCGCAACTTTTCTGATAGTTAAAAAAGCTTCTTTAAACAATTTCTAAGAGACACATAGAATTCACCATAAAATACTTGTTTTTTTAGCTTGAAACATACATTCTGCTTAGTTGTAATTTAGCAAAATACAGATATGCAAGACTGTAGCTTGAACACAAATCTTTGGAAGCTTTTGATGCAGTACAGTGTTGTTTAACTCAAAATTGCTGCTAATCTTCTATTATACTTGGCAATTTCATAAAATATGGTTTGAATTTAAATTTTTTGGGGATTTTCAAATATTTACTACAGATTGTCAATTTGAGTGACATAACAGTATAAATTAAGAAAATAAAAGCATCAAGTTGCTGTTATGGTTATGTAGGAAAATGAAAATAAATTGGGTGTCTGAACTCACTGTAGCACATTTCAGCTTATTTATATCATATTCACTAGCATAAACACAACTTATGGATAATATTGTTGTTCTTATATTCTTACTTTTATTTTGTAGACTTTAAGGCAGGGGTGTCAAACTGGTGGCCCGCGGGCCGGGTGTGTCATGTACAGGCCACCCCCCCCACCCCTGCGAATGGGGAAAAACGTCGCAAAATGTCACATGATAGCAATGAGACATGGTGAGTTTGACACCTTTGCTTTAAGATGATGCACATTTTTCTATCTATTTTACCCACAACCACCAACCCATGAAACAAGATTGTTCGGCTGACAGCCAAAGTCATGCAGCTGGTTGCTATGCCTAGGAGAAGACTAGAGAACCTCATGATCTCCTAGTTTTTAGTCCAGCATCTTAACTACACCACCACAATGGCTCTCTAAACTTTTTCACATGCTTGTGAGAATATGGAAATCACGTGCCTGATATGGATTCCAAGATGGGATCCTGGAGACTGTCTAGGGCATTTGGGTGATGGATCTTCCATCAGATTGTCTCCATCTGCTTTTTCTGGCATACTCAAAGAACGCTTTCGCCATTTCTGAGTACTTCCTGTATAACAAAGCAATCAAATGTGGGGTGTTTTTTCCCCCCATAAATTATTAACAGCTTTCAGCTTTTAATTCAAACTTTACAAGCAGTGGGTTCTTACCATTTGATTTGGCAAGGATGGTCCTACATTCAATGCATTCCCAGTTTAGCTCCAAGCTTGTTAGTGAGGAACACGCCAAATGAGTTCCACTCGAACCACAACATTGACAGCGTTTTATTTCCCATTTGCTAAAAGGAGGGGAAAATGTATTATTAATTATAACAATAACTTTAATTCAGCAAAGCTACATAGGCAGTATCATTCTTTCTTAAAAGGAATGAGATTACACATTTATTGGGATGTAACAAAATACGAGAGTGAAAGACTAATAGCATTTTAAATTATTCTAGGCTGCCTTTCTATCAGGAAATGAATGTATTGATACTTAATGCAACTGTTCAACTACATTTTGTTCTGCAATGCACTATTATTGAATAACTGCTAAGAAATAGGCTGGCATACATTACAAATAAGAAGAACTGTCACAGAAAAAGCTACAGCAACAAACAATCATAAACCCTTTAGAGTCTAATCTACAGGCAACTCAGTCCTACAGATAATCTACGCTGTCATCCTTAAAAGCTTTCTGAAAAAGCCAAATTTTCACCATTTGACAGAAAGCTGTTAATAATGAAGCTTCAATGGGAAGTGACAAAAAAGTCTTCCCCAGACTTCCCATTAACTTCAAAGTGTAGTATATAGATGAAGATCCTTCATCTTTATCCGGTTGCAGATAGGCATCTACTTATACTTCCTTTAAAATATAACTTTTTAATAAAGTTTATTATAATGAAAAGTATTGTTCAACATTTCAAAGAAACGAGGAGTTTGCCAAATACAATAAATTTGATGTAGTGATTTAACAAGCTGGTCTAGAAACCAGGAGACTGTGAATTTTAGTCCCATCTCAGGAACGAAAGCCAGCTGGGTGACCTTGGGTCAGTCACTTTTTCTTGGTCCAACTCACTCCACCAGATGATTATTGTGGAGAAAATAGGAGGAGGAATAAGTATGATATACAGTACGTTCCCTGCCTTAATTTTTTAATTCTAATTTTGTGTTTGGTACATTTGAAAAACTACAAAGAAATTAGACACGAACAGTGATAAAGACAGGATATATCACTACCTATCAGGCTCATTGTAGTCTCTTCCATTTTTGCAAAGACATCTTTTAATATCACAATGTTGGTAACGTTGAAGAAGTTCTTGATAGGCGTTCTGTTCTAGTTCCCAGGAGGCATCTCTGGAATCATTTGAACATTTATTAGAATACTTTAATTCTTTTCTTGTTAAACAAGATATGACAGCAAAATACAGCATAAAAATGCACTCACACAATTTAAGTTAATACACATTTAAATGTATTAAATGCAATTTAAATCACTTACTTTTCTGGAACGTGGATACCCATTCTTAACATTTCGTTCTGAAATTTTTCTTTATTATTACATACAGGACATCGATAGAAATATACCCCTGCACTGAGAGCTTGACACTAAACCCAAAAGAAAAATAAAGAATGATCAATAGAACTTATTTACCTGACACAGAAACTAAATCACTTTGAAAATTAAGGCATAATATCTGAACAAATAAATGATGCAGGTATAACAATTTTCTATTTCCTTTAAATTTTGCAAATACTAACAAGGGATGAATGAAAAGTAATGCCTTCAATGTCACCAGATGGCAATACTAATGCTTCTCTAACATGTTCTTTAACGTATGTCCTTTCACTTCAATTGATATAATATCGCTGTGAGAAAAGGTTGCCTTGATATTGTTCATTCTTTGAAATGGAAGCCTGTGACTACTCATCAGTGGACTTTAAGCAACATTCCATGTTTAATTTTTGACTGAAGTAGTTTCTCCTAGGGCTTTCATTGTAGACTATGGATTTTTTTATGCAATGACTGCCTTGACATTACTGTGTGCTACTGGATCAAAAAAAATGTTGAACAGGAAAGATCTTGTTTTTGGGAGGTCTGTAGAGTGCAAAAACTTTTTTTTTTAAATTTGCCTCTTCAAAATCTTGGTGCATCTTATACTCCGGTGCGTCTTATACTCAGAAAAATATGGTATTTCACTACAATACACAAAATTTTGAAATAATGATTTAACCAGAATTCGGAAGCACAAGAAGAAAACGTTATTGCATTGTGAATGGTAGGCCTCGTAGCTCATGAGCCACCCAAGAGGCAATTGTGAAGTTGGATGCTACCACCTTACCCCATTTGCCATACAGTCCAGACTTGGAATTATGCAACTTGAAGGAATAACATTATGGGCATCTGTTTGAGTCAAATGAAAAATGGAAAGAGCTGTCAGGACCTGGTTGAAGAGACAAAGTATGGGGTTCTTTCGTGATAGCTTTCAGAAGCCTGTCCATTGTTGGCTATAGTGAATGGTGGTGATTATGTGGATAAGTAAACATAGGTAACAAAAGAGCTCATTTCAAATATTTTTTCCTATTTCATTTATTAAAATATCCTCATATGAACTAAAGTTATAGATGGAGGCATTACTTTTCATTGCAACCTTGTAGATCAAGTTTTTAAAGAGTTGCCTGGACCAAGTCATACACTAATTTCTGTCTCACTTCCAACCTACTCTGAATACAGACATACTTTTTAACAATAACAATTTACAGATTTTGTTTTTAGTAATAAAAAGGAACTTCTGCTATGTCAATCCAGACATACCTGCAAGCATTCCCTATGAAACCAAGCATTTTTACAGCATGGACTTGTCAAAATGTTGTATGTAGGTGATTGTTCAACCAACTCCAAACATATTGTACATTGTGATGATCCTTTACAATTAGAAGGACGTTTTTGAGTGGGTCGGTGCTTCCAACAATATGACCTTAAATCAGAGAGGCAGAATTACATAGAATCACATCATTAAAAAAAAAACCTACAATTGTTACTCAGGTAAATCATGTACTTTAGAAATAGATATTCTCAGATAAAGGTGTAAGGACCAATTTGCTTTTATATTAACTGAAGTTAATCCGGTATTATTAAGTGGAACTTTGTAATTTTAGAAAAAAATAGTTTCACTAGTTTTGAAATAATGAAGCAAAATAAACTTACGGAAAAGTTTCTCTGAATTGGAAAATGCATCCTTTCTCTATTCCACAAGGAAAATGGTAGCTTCGTTTGCATCTGGATGCTATACAACCAATTGAAGCACCTTTTTTCTTACAGATAGCACATTTCTAAAAGAAAAAATACATTAAATCATTATAGAAAAGTTATTTTGCATCAAAGCTTATACAAGAAAAAACACTTATAGTGAAATAATTCATCGCTTAGTTAAATTTCAACCAGATTTTTGTATAATTTGCAGAAGGCAATTTTAAATAAATTATTGAATTCATAAATGTAATAGACTTGCATACATTCTAATATTAATATAAATTGCTTAATACATTATTATCAACTCCTATAACTTGCAAGCATTAACTTTTTCAAATAAATCATATTTTTTCCTTTCGTTTCCATCACCTATAAACAATAATCCTATAAACTCTATTGCAAAGGCAATCCAGAATATCACTGTTTTGTTTTCAAGAATGAGATCCCATAAAATAAAAAGTATCTCCTCTTTTATATTAACCTTTAGTCTGTTATTCCCTCTCAGCCCTAATCAACATCAGGCTTTGGAGCAAACCAACTGATAAACAAACTCCCATGGAATCACAATTTGGTAACTTGTAGTTAAGTAGATGAAAGCAATCCCAAAACCTGGTAAATGGGCCAAACACTATTGTTGTTGCTATTCTGAATACAGATTTTAATCAACAGATTTTATGAAATTTAGCCACAATACTGAAGTTAAATTAAGTACTTAATGGTTGTTAGCCTGTCTAGCTTAATCTAATCCCAATTTGCTTCTCCCTCTTCAAATGGTTCCCAAATGTATGGCAGTTCTGTGTATTACAGCAAGGATACATACAGGAAGAAAGAGATATAGACCACTATTTAAATCTTATTCCAACCAGTCTTTTGCAATCTTTTTATCCTGGAGGAACCCTTGAAATAATTTTCAGGCCTTACAGAACTTCCACAAGAAAATCACAAAAAATATAAACATTTCACAATAAAATTCTCCTCTACTTTATGTTTCACCATCTTCATAACATTAGCAAAGAAGAGCTTGACAACAGAGTCACAGTACTAAACATTCCGATTGCATTGTGTGGCATGCAACATTTAATTAAAAAAAATTTTTTTTATCACTCTCTCATGAAATCCCATGGGTTTCATGGAAACCCAGTTAAGAAAGGCTGTTCTAAACCTTTGTATGAAAAGTTAATTTTGCAGGAAACTATAAACTTGCTTTGGACATATCTAAGGCAAAGAAGTGATTAATTCAGCTGATTCAAAAGTAATACAGTTCCAGTTGTATAGTTGAGAACAAAATCTTACTGTTTCCTTTTTCAGCCAAAATAGCTTAATTACATCTGTTACTACTAATGTGAGCTTAGAATATATTTAAATTTATGAATATGTATAACTCCTTGGAACAGATTCATTATTCAAAATCTCTTACCAGTCTTGCAGCTCGATTAATTTCTTTTTGGATATCTTCAGGTAAAAAACCATAAAAGCCTTCTTCATCTTCACCTCTCTGCCAAATCCCACTTGACATTAACTATAATAAATTTAATGATGAATTAAATCAAGTGACATTCCAGACATATCTGCATTAACTTTTCACAATAAGAAAGCATGTAATTTAATCATTACTGAGGTTTACCTGCAGTATAATTATATGTGATTTTCAGCAAATTATTGAATCATGTTTGCAATATATTTGTCCTCACAAATATGGCAATAAAAGTTGCCATTTATTCAGCACAGGTAGTTCCTACTTAGCAACTGCAATTGGGAACCTCAATTATGCATCAGTTGTAAACTGAAGTCATGTGACTTAACATATCAGTTTTCACTGTGTTAACAAATCGCCACAAGTAGTTAAGTGCAACGTCACATGATTGCAACTCCTGCTTGGATTCCTCATTTACTTTGCTTGTCAGAAATGACTGTGAAGGTTGCAAATGGCAATTATGTGACCATGGGATGCTGTGACTGTTGTATATGCCTGAATCATGATCATGTGACCATGGGGACATATGAAAATGTAGCTTTGAAGATTGTTTCTACTGTAAATCTTTCCAGTACCATTGTAGGTTCAAATAGTCATTGAATGAATGGCCAGTAAGCAAGGACTACCAGTACACCTTTTTTGTATTTGGTCCACATTTCCCAGTCAAGCAAAAAAATATAAAGGATTAGAACAAGTTCAGATAGTTATGTCAGCACTTGCTTCTAAGGAAATACAGACATGATTTGATAACAATTCCCATTGTTTTCAAAGAGATTCACTATTATTTGTACAGCTAGCACTGCAACTTTATTGTATAAAATGATATCCAGACCTTTTGCCACTTTCTAGTGGCATAGTAAAGGTAAAAGTTCCCCAGCACATGCATGCTAGTCATTTCTGGCTCTAGGGGTGGTGCTCATCTCCATTTCTAAGCCAAAGAGCCAGCACTGTCCAAAGACGTCTCCGTGGTCATGTGGCCGGCATGACTCAATGCCGAAGGTGCACCAAGCGCTATTATCTTCCCACCAAAGTGGTCCCTATTTTTCTACTTGCATTTTTATGTGCTTTCAAACTGCTAGGTTGGCAGAAGCTGGGTCAAGTAACGGGAGCTCACTCCATTACGCAGAACTAGGGATTCGAACTGCTGACCTTTCTGATAGACAAGCTCAGCATCTTAGCCACTGAGCCATCACATCTCCTTCTAGTGGCGTAGTTTTGAATTTTTAATGTGCATGGTTTTAATTTTCAATTGCTTTTTATTCATCCTTTTTAATGTTCTGTAAGCTGCCCACTCACACTTTCGGGGAGTTGGCCAGCATATAAAGATCTTTAGCAATGTTCCATCTTAAAAATAAGTTTTCTCTGCTTCAGCACAGTATTTGTTGCCGAGAATCTTTGCATGGTTCTGACTCTCCTTCTCAATGAATTCAGAATAAACCTGCATCCTTTTTGACCCTCACATGGCACATTTGCACATGGTATTATTCCTGTAGTGGGGTTGTACCCCTTTGTTCCCATGCCTGACATAATCCTTTGCTCTTACTTGGGGCTCAGTTTTCTCTGTCATTCCCTGACCTCTTCTTTAAGACACCTTTTGTCTGAGGATATCTCTTCAGCCAAGAATAACATGTATTCAGGTAACCATGTGGCTTGCTGAATACTACGTATGGCCAGTAATTGGCTGAATGTGAATAGCAACCTTAAACTGAATTAAGAGAAAACAGAGGTGCCTATTGTGAAGGGTGACATTTCTCAACAAAAGTGGCAGATGCTCCATGTTTTTAATGATGTTAAAAACAAATAGACTATGCATACAGTTTGAGAGTATTTCAAGATTTGCACTTCTCTTGAATTTCCTAGATTGAAACAAGGAACAACAAAACCTTATATCATATTTATGCACCTATCTGTACTCGTTTTAGTTACTAATTTGAAAGGAAATTGAGTTCAACATATATTTATTATTTGATTTTGTTAAATAGACACATATATTATAACACAAGATATCATAAGAGCAGCTTGTAAATTATCTAGTATAGTATGGTATAATATTTATTGTCATTGCACAAAATAAATAAAACAAAATCTAACTTTCCAATAGACCCCAAAAATTCTTTGGGGGGCAGAAAGAAGTACTTACTACACAGTAATAATGAACAGTGAGATTACAGTCCTCAAAGGTCCTTTTTTCCCCATATTTTTCAGGACAGTCATCAGCCCGTTGACAGAATTCACAGGCTAAAAGATAAAAATAATGGTATGTGGACACTATGAAGTTCTACTTGTTATTGGACATATAACAAGGTACCCAGAAAAATCATGCAATAGTTTAGTATATTTTATAGATTTCTTTGAACTACTAAGACAAGCAAATTGTAGTAATTACAATCCCAGAAATTATTTCTGACTGAATTCATAAACAAACAAGATCACTTGGAATTTCTTTATTTAGCAAATGTATATGGTTGCATATCTTAACAAATTAACTCTAGGTAGCCAACAAAACATAAATAATGAAATACAAAAACAGAATAAGCATTCATCTATTTACAATAGTTGAGACTATTCTGTAAAGAATCTCAAGCATTTTCTGACAGTATAACAACACATATTAGGCTGTAGAAGCAACTTGGTTCATTGGGTGATGGAAAAGCCTTCTGGAAAGCATGTTTCCCATGAAGGTATGTGGAACGTGCACATCATACAGATCTGTTGTGATGGGCTGAAACCACTGGAGACCAGCAGGCCCTCAAGTAGTTGGTTCCATACCATGTATGGCTTTGAAGGTGACAACCAGCATCTTGAATTACACTTAGAAACTTAGAAGAAGCCAACGCAGCTCATGTAGCGGTGGGGTATGTGGATGTTCTCCACTGCTACCAAATGAATTCAAGGCCAGCCCTATACAGAGTGGATTGACATAATCCATAAGGACATAGTTAAGGCCATGATGGCGAACCTATGGCACGTGTGCCAGAGGTGGTACGCAGAGCCTTCTCTGCTGGCAGGCATACCATTGTCCTAGGTCAGATCTCCATGGCGTTTCTTTCATGAACTTCTGTTTCCTTGCAAATGGCGAACTCTACCACCATCTTCTCAAGAAAGAGCTGCTTGTAAAACTACTAGGACTGTATATCTTTGATCAAGAACAAGGTATAGTTACTATTCTGGAGAAATTAGTATTAATATTAAGGTTACTAAGTACAGGAAGGGACAGAAAGAGTTGTATTTCTCCAAACTGGGAACCATAGAATTTCCACAAATCCCAACCAGCATGGCTATTGCAGACCCACTACTTGAAGGCACCAGGCTAGTAGCTACGTTAATTAAATCAAACATAAATAGTTATAAATACTTACATAGATTCTGGAAGCATCCAATAATGTTCTTACTCATTCTAGTGTTCTCCATTCAACTAAGTCATATGAGAGAAAGAAATCAGTTGCTATGTGAAATTAAACATTAAGTCTGTGAATTATCTAATTCTCTACAGTTTTAATTAAAAGCAAACTATATGGTAAGAAAAACAAAGAACTGTGCGCACACACAACACGCATGCATAGACACAGCAATATGAAGTGCGGCTTTGTTTTTGATTGGTAACCTACAGAACTTTTTCATTATGGCTAATGATTTAGAGCAGCAGTACAATTTAGCATAAACCTGAAAGTCAGAAATGCAAATAAAGTCTCTTTTTGACTACAAAAAATTACCTGGAAAAAAAAATAAGGTATTCTTTGCTGTTCTTTTGTCTCTGCAAATTTGTGGACAGTCCTGCATTCAGTCTTCATCCAGATAAGAAAGATGATGAGGAGCAAAAGAAGAAAAAGACAGAGTAAAAAAGAAAGGGAAGGAGGGGTAGGGGAGGGGAGTAGAGTAGAGGGGACTTAAATGTTTTATATCAAATGAACAAGCAAGGAGGCAGATGAGAAAATAGATCATAAAGGCTACTACTCTGGCATAATTAGGTCATAAAGGTATTTCTCTGAGGCATTACTGTTGTCATCCAACCACAAGTCAGGGATCTCATAAGTCAATACAGTTATATAAAGTAGAGTAGCAAACCCTATAGGGATATAATGCTAAGTGTCAAAATCAAACTACACTTTTAAAAGGATCCAAAGAACTGGAAAATAATTAAGTGAACAAAGAAAAATTTACAAAATTATAAAGTTAAATTATACTATTCTGCTTGGTATTTCTTTTAACTTAGCAATGTTAACATGCTACATTCTATGCTATGTGTTTGGAGATAGAGTTTTAAAGGCAAAACTAACAAGTTTATTCTTTTCAACTAAAAATAAAATAAATGAATTTGCAGTAATATCTTTTACCACCTTAAATACTTTTAACATGAGAAAATAATACAACTGCTATTGGTTTAAGAATATAATATACATGCAACAACTTCAATATTTGTTCATAGAACATATGTAAGGTTTTTATTTTGGTTAAAACTGTAAATCAGATGGAAACTGCATCCTTCTTGAAAATAGAGGAATACAGAGGTGCCTACAGAAACAGGCAAAAGCCTATCTCAGCATTTCAAATCATTTCCAGTCCCACATTTGAGGATTATCCCCCAATTCCCAGAGCACCTTTTCTAGAAATACAGAATAACAAAAAAATTACAACTTCCTCTCACACTTTCAAAATAAGTGTCTTGTTATCAGTCAGTATTCCACTAATAAAAAATAACATATGAAATTGGTGTTTGAGAAAAAGAATTAACAATTGGTTTTTCCCATGATTATTTTGAATACAGTACTAGTGCACTACTGATGAACATGCAATTTGTATTTAGTTTGTAAGTTTTTGAAATAAAATAAGAGGTTTTGGAAAGTTAATTAGTGGGTCTATACAATAAGTTAATGAATGAGCAAGAATGAACACATTTTAAAAGTTTGCATAATACACGCATACACATACACACATACATACATCATCTATCTATCTATCTATCTATCTATCTATTTATCTATCTATCTATCTATCTATCTATCTATTAATCATCTATCT